TTGGAAGACGTTGGAAGATGTTGGAAGACGTTGGAAGATGTTGGAAGATGTTGGAAGACGTTGGAAGATGTTGGAAGATGTTGGAAGACGTTGGAAGATGTTGGAAGACGTTGGAAGATGTTGGAAGATGTTGGAAGATGTTGGAAGATGTTGGAAGATGTTGGAAGACGTTGGAAGATGTTGGAAGATGTTGGAAGACGTTGGAAGATGTTGGAAGATGTTGGAAGACGTTGGAAGATGTTGGAAGATGTTGGAAGATGTTGGAAGACGTTGGAAGATGTTGGAAGATGTTGGAAGACGTTGGAAGATGTTGGAAGATGTTGGAAGACGTTGGAAGATGTTGGAAGACGTTGGAAGATGTTGGAAGATGTTGGAAGATGTTGGAAGATGTTGGAAGACGTTGGAAGATGTTGGAAGATGTTGGAAGACGTTGGAAGATGTTGGAAGATGTTGGAAGACGTTGGAAGATGTTGGAAGATGTTGGAAGATGTTGGAAGACGTTGGAAGATGTTGGAAGATGTTGGAAGATGTTGGAAGATGTTGGAAGACGTTGGAAGATGTTGGAAGATGTTGGAAGACGTTGGAAGATGTTGGAAGATGTTGGAAGACGTTGGAAGATGTTGGAAGATGTTGGAAGATGTTGGAAGATGTTGGAAGACGTTGGAAGATGTTGGAAGATGTTGGAAGACGTTGGAAGATGTTGGAAGATGTTGGAAGACGTTGGAAGATGTTGGAAGATGTTGGAAGATGTTGGAAGACGTTGGAAGATGTTGGAAGATGTTGGAAGATGTTGGAAGATGTTGGAAGACGTTGGAAGATGTTGGAAGATGTTGGAAGACGTTGGAAGATGTTGGAAGATGTTGGAAGACGTTGGAAGATGTTGGAAGATGTTGGAAGATGTTGGAAGACGTTGGAAGATGTTGGAAGATGTTGGAAGATGTTGGAAGATGTTGGAAGACGTTGGAAGATGTTGGAAGATGTTGGAAGACGTTGGAAGATGTTGGAAGATGTTGGAAGACGTTGGAAGATGTTGGAAGATGTTGGAAGATGTTGGAAGATGTTGGAAGATGTTGGAAGACGTTGGAAGATGTTGGAAGATGTTAGAAGACGTTGGAAGATGTTGGAAGATGTTGGAAGACGTTGGAAGATGTTGGAAGATGTTGGAAAGGAAAAAAGTGAAGGAACATTAAACAACCAAGACATGTTGGGAAATGAACAAACAAAGGGATTCAAACACCAAAATCTTTGTTGAACAGCAAGATTGGGGTTGAACCCGCAACATTTGTGTTTTGAACCTGCAAAGTGATGAGATGGGCCAATAGATTGCGGAAGACAGGACAAACTATGATGGAATCGGAGGATGGTATCGGTTAAGATTGACTGATGACAGGTGAAGTGAAACATACGGAGTTTTTCTACAGAGTCCCTTAGGGGGCGGTCTCGATTTATGTGGAAAACCAATCAAAGAACCACCATCCAAATCTTACCAGAAATATGTTCTTATAATATCTTATAAAACATCCCCAATCCCAGAGGTTTATTGATTTATGGCCTTGGGTTTACCACAACATCCGCGTCTGCGCAGGCTGCCCTTCAAAGGCATGCGACACGAGCGTCTCCGGCCGGGGGAAGCTATTCCATCCTACACCCTGACTTTAGAGTTTCAGCTCGACAGCCAACATCCACAACTGGAACACCCGTGGTCCGTGTACCAGGTGGGTCATGAGTGCTGATGAGTTCTGTTGATTTCTGATGTGCATCAGGATTTTCTAGCTTTTTCACCGAGCGACCAGATTTTCTTCTACGCTGAGTGCTGTTGAAACATCGGTGGATTCAATCCCAGCCTATGGCACCAACAAGTTTTTGCAAAACACTTGATGTATACTCTCTGGTAATTTAACATAGCTATTGAAAATGGTGATTTATAGTGAGTTTTCCCATTAAAAATGGTGATTTTCCATAGTTATGTTAGTTTACCAGAGGGTACACGTGCTAAGAATCCGACTGTTGATCATTGAGAACTCATGCCACACTGCAGATCGTCTGCACGTCTGCAAATTTAATTCTTAGAATCAGGGGGAAAAGTCGTAGGAAACGCCTCATGCAATGTTCCAAAACAACAACTATTTCCAATGGACTCTCACAGTATGAACCGTTGGGGATGGGTGTTAACCTATTTTTTTTTCACATTTTTCTTTTGGAAGAAACATCGAGAGAAATCCCCGCGAGGCCAGTTTTCCGGAGGTGCACGAGACCGATGAGTTGTGCTTCGTTGCCAAGGTGGGACAGTTTCGATGATCTAAAAATGGTGTCAGATGGCTTGGGATACCAACAAAACCAGCGGTGAGTCCTGTTTTCTATGGCGAAAGAACTGAAAATGTAGGATTCAAGCTGGACTGCGAGAAGTGAGCGAAGTGTTTTAGGGATTTGCCAAAAGTAGGGCCTCCCAGCGCTCCAGGCGCGTACGGAGTTTCCACAGTGGATGGTTGGAACGGACATCGATGGTCGCTTGCCCGTGACGCTGGAGATGGATCCCAAGTCTAAGGCGCTGAGAATTGCACAAGGGCACTGAATTGGGTGAAAAATGGGCCATTTTTATATTTTTTTCTATATTTTGTTATCTGTTCAAATGGGATTTTGGGGTCTGTACTGGATTTTAGCTTCAAGTTTGGTTGTTTTGTTGTTAAACGATGCTGCATAAGATCACATGTTGTCTACTTTCTGACCATGTGCGGTGTTTCTCACCTTTGGCGATTCCAAGCATCTGAAAGTTGGTTTGCTTCTCGACTCTTGCCCATTCTTAGTTTCCAAATCAGTCCAAATACATCAAGATGGGTTTCCCTACTACTCTTGGTTTCCTTTCTCTTTTTTATATAGGGACCAACATGGGCAAGCTCATGGCTTTCTTCGCTTTGATTCAGAGCCACAGAAGTTGAGTGAGAGATCCTTACCTGCAGGAACTCCCATAGAAATGGCAGAGTGAATGGTGTCCCCTTCTTTGAAAGAGACAACCCAATGATGACTGGGGTCAAAATCATTTTTTGTTAAGCAAAAGGATGAGGTTGGTGAAACTATTTTAGGTAAACAAAACATGTTCGCCCCAACCCGGACGTTGCTCCACACTTACAATTGTCATGATCATGATCATGATCATGATCATGATGATGATGATGATCATCATCATCATCATCATCATCACATCGTCACATCGTCATCGTCACATCGTCACATCATGATCATCATCACATTAAAATTTGCCACCCCTATGAACAATATGTTGATTGGGGTAAAAACATCGACTTTATCTTCATAAGGGATGAAAATTCGCCACCCCCTATGAACAATATGTTGATTGGGGTAATAACATCAACTTTACCTTCATAAGGGATCAAAATTCGCCACCTCCTATGAACAATATGTTGATTGGGGTAATAACATCGACTTTATCTTCATAAGGGATAAAAATTCGCCACCCTCTATGAACAATATGTTGATTGGGGTAATAACATCAACTTTATCTTCATAAGGGATCAAAATTCGCCACCGCCTATCAACAATATGTTGATTGGGGTAATAACATCAACTTTATCTTCATACACACCTGAAGTCAGACGCGGCGCAACGTCAGGGTTGCAGCGAACATGTTTGTTTGACAGCTTTTTGGGAAGGCCCAGACCGTCTCTGCCAGGCTTTGGCTGGTCTTCTACCTGGAACTGTCGTACAGAACCTCGGACTGAGGTCGAAGGTGGGTTTGGTGCCATATTTAGGGGGAAAACCCCAAATTTGAATATATTCAAGAATTGACATCCATTCATCTGTCACAATTTTCCCTACTGCAATCTCGATTTCGAGGTACGGTGGACCGGTAATACGGTGTATACCCATTTTTAGACACACCCAAGACTTGTCCACCAAAGAAATCAGGAGATGGCAACCTTGGTCTGATTTTCTCACAGTTAGCTTACAAAACCATGGGTTCCCTTCTGCGGACTAATTTAGTTGTCTTCCGTAGGTTTTCCAATTTGAGTATGTCCATTTCAGTTGGAGGGTGGGTTTTCCATCCAACTTTTCAACACTTACTATTTTTCTCTTTTTCCTTTTTTTTTCTCATTTTTTTTTGCATCTTTAGAAATTTGGGTTTTCCATCAAAATGTTCAATAATTACAATTGGAGTATTTTATTTTCTGAGGGGTTTTCTAAGCAATTTTTTCGCGGTTGTTGGTGGTTTTTCAGCCCTTCTTCCAACGTCTTCTGAAGTTAGCTATTCAGTGGTGAACCAGTTTCGCGGTTCGGAGCTGGGGTTGGTACCCATCTTCCCAACCTTCCAACTGGGTTTCGCCAGTTGGAGCTACGAAGAATTCCCAAGGGTCCCAACCGTGTTTTTCCTCGGAGGATCATCCCATGAATCGTTTTTTTGGTGAATAATCCTAGTTCCTACCCTCTGGTAATTTAACATAGCTATGGAAAATCACCATGATTAATGGGAAAATCCACTATAAATGGTCATTTTCAATAGCTATGTTAAATTACCAGAGAGTAAATCCTCAGTTTTTTGAGGTTTTCCCGTTTGTGGCTCGAGCCCAACGCCCATTTCATCTGTATCCATGGGATCTTCCAGGGAAAATGCCCTACCAGGCAGTGCGGCGAGGTGCTGCGGCTGCCCAGTGGTGCCCGACGGGTGCCGGTGAAGTTCAAGCGCCAGGTGCGCGGTGTTGGATACATCTGATGATATACGACGTAAGGAATTTGTGTGTTGGGGATGAAGTAACATCTATGAAATAGGAATTTGCATGGGAATAGTTGGGAATATCATTGGAATAGACAATGATTGTAGCTGGTTAGTAACTGCTGGTAACGTTACCACCCAGCTATATATTGGATATGTAGGTTGAGTAAGGGAACTCAGGAAGCATGGATTTGTAGAGAGAAACATGGGAGATCTCAACCAGTAAAAAGTAAACACCTTGCATTTACCCTCCGGTTGTGTCACACGGCAACTGAAAATCCACCATTTCTAGAATTTTATAGATGATTAGCGCATTAACACCTCCATGTACCAGGGATTTTCCATTGCCACGTTTGATTTTCAGAGGGTACCTGCAAACACGGAGAGTTCACCAATAAAATTGGAACCAGGGATAGAATTGATATATGGCTACCTTTGGTACCGATTCTTCAATTATCAACCCCCCCAACATGGATTGCTAATTGCTCACACATCCCAGCCATTTGCGGGTCTCAAACTGGTCGCGCAGCGACTTGATCCATGGCACAGGCGCTCACCGCTGTGGAGGAAGAGGAAATCACATCGCAGAAGAAGAAACCTGCGAGCCGCTTGCATCATTTTTCCCCGGTGGTGCGGGGCATTAATCATCGGATTTTACCACTAAAAATCGATGAAATTGGGATGATTTGGGGGTACTCTGATTTTCAGAAACCTCCATGTAGCAATATGCAGGGCCCGTTATGCAACCCGTTGATTTGAAGCCCTTACATCGCCCATGATGATCACTGGTTGGTCGTGACCATCGCAATCGTCCAAAAATTGGCTCCCCCTAAATTGTTATCTATATCTGTATCTGTATCTATATACAAAACGTGATCTATATCTATATCCCTATACATACATAATTATCTATGTATATGTATCTCAATTCTCATGAAGGATTCGAATTATCACTCATCCAATGTCATGTTTGACTGCCGGCACCAAGGTGGCGGCATGTTCAAGGCTCCACCACCTGTGGGAGGTTTTGATGGTGGCAAGCCCTTTGAACTCTTCGGCAAGGAGGATGAGGACGTCGGCGAGAGCTGGCCCAAGGGCCCAAGGGACCAAGGGACCACAGATGGTATTCACTATCCACAGGTGATTTAGCCACAAACAATGAGTTGAATTCGATAGACCTTGCATCACCGATGGTAAGGTATTTGATTTTTTTGAAGATCTCAAAGCGTTGCAAGTTGCTGCATTATTTTAGAATTCAGCCAGCTTGGAATTTGGCTGGAAAATGGAGAGAAAGAGAGAGAGAGAGAGAGAGAGAGAGGGGGAGAGGATGAGGATGAGGATGAGGATGATGATGATGATGATGATGATGATGCTGACGATGATGATGCTGCAGCTGCTGCTGCTGCTGCTGGTGTTGTTGTTGTTGTTGTTGATAAAACTTGCAGTTCAATGGGGATATTTGGATGAATCCATCAATAGGCCCTCAGAATTACTGCACCTTGGATGGTTTCAGGCAGACGATGATAAAAACCGTGGCCCCTCTGGCTCCCTTTTTTGGGTCACCATATCAATTTGATCTTTCGACAAAATATTGTTCATATCTCGTCTCGCTGTCTGGAAATCCCAAGTGGAACATCATCTACAGTAGAGATGGATATCAACTCGACGTAATATATTTATTTTAATCCCATATACATACATACATACATACATACGTACATACATACATACATACCTACGTACGTACGTACATACATTACATTACATTACATTACATTACATTACATTACATCACATCACATTACATTACATTACATTACATACATTACATACATTACATACATTACATACATTACATACATTACATACATTACATACATAACATACATAACATACATAACATACATAACATACATAACATACATAACATACGTAAGATACATAACATACATAACATACATAACATACATAACATGCATAACATGCATAACATGCATAACATGCATAACATGCATAACATACATAACATGCATAACATGCATAACATACATAACATACATAACATACACATACATACACAACATACACAACATACACAACATACACAACATACACAACATTCACAACATACACAACATACATAACATACACAACATACACAACATACACAACATACATAACATACATAACATACATAACATACATAACATACATAACATACATAACATACATAACATACATAACATACATAACATACATAACATACATAACATACATCCATCCATCCATCCATCCATGCATACATACATACATACATGCATACATACATACATACATACATACATACATACATACATACATACATACATACATACATACATACATAGACAAATAAATGCACACAATAGATGACACCACAAACGGTTGATGTTCCAGCATGCACATTATGTTCGCGGAGAGCGCGGAGAGCACCCGATGCTATCAGAGACAGGACGAAGAAGATCCTGGTGAAGAGGCATCCACTTTCCAGCATAAAATGAATGAGGACGAGGTGTGCCTCCGGGGGGCAGGTGGGATGCCTCAAGATATTTTGGAGCCGACAATGGGGATTTAAGCGAGAAAACAAGTGGAATACATGACTATTCATATTGGGAGGATCTCTGTTGAAGGGAGCACCTACAAGAAATCATGGTTTTACAATGCCATCTGAGGCTTTCAGAAAAACATTTTCCCAGGTCAAATTCAAGGTGTGAGGTTGCCGCCGGCTCTTGGTTGATTTTAGAGGCCTCCAAAGATTTCGCCATATCACCCATTTTTGGAGGCGCCATTACGACCACTTTCCATTGGTGGTTATGGTAGGTCCTGGTAGGTGAAGTGTTACAGAGGACTGGTCGGGATCATCGGGATGAATCGGAAGTGACCTCTTGGGTTGCAAAATTTGTGTGATGAACGTTGCGTTGTGCTGCCCCTAGCAGCTATTGGAAATGGATCCTTTGCAGATTTCCGAGGGATTTGTAGTTTTGACATGTTTTGACCGAAGTCTCCAATCATACTTTATTTTGGCTGGGAATTAGACCAACAATTACAGAAAGGGATTCATTCAGGCTGGATTGTTGAAATTTGCACCAGGCCTCCACTAGTTTTGGAACATTTTGATTGGTTGAATCCTTATTTCTGCAAAGTGATATGCATCTTTCTGGTCATATTCTTTTTTTGAGGTCAAAACCAACATTTGCTGCTCTAAGCACAATTTTTGCTGGCATACATCCAATTTCAGCTGGTCATTTCCTGAACATTTGCTGCGAGACTCGTGGTGGTTCGCCGTTGGCAGGTGACGATCACAGTGCATGCAGGGTACTGGGGTGAGAGCACTCAAGCTGGCTGTGCCACCAGCATCAAGGCAGGTTATTCTACTCCTTTCAATGGGGGTTTTCAGGAGCCTAAAATAGAGGTACTGTACATTTGGGGGGTATATCATATCTCCTGAAATTTAGCCCTTACATAGGCCATGTACATGGATGGTAACTCCAATTTAGGTTCCTGAAATAGCGATTGATCCTTTATCTGGGGTGTTGGGAGCAGCCCTGCTTGGCGGGTCCCTTTTCCTGGTAGCTTGGTCACTGGGATCGCAGATTTACAGGGTTCCGACCTTCCAAGCTTCCAGGGTTCAAGGCTTTCATCCTTTCAAGGTGTTTTTCAGGCTTGCCAGGATGGTTTCAACATCCAGAGTGAAGAAGTTCCAATTTTCATCAATTTTTTCAATGCGCAAGAAGGTGCCAGCAGTTGAGGAACTCGAGAACTTTCTCCCTGTGTCTTTTGCCGGGAACTTTCTCCGTTGGTTTTGGGAACTTCGGGGCAGGTGTCCTCCAACGGCATCCAGCGCACACTCACCTTCTTCCCAGGGGTGGAGCATGGGGCCGTGCGCGTGGAGGGTGAGCCGGATGCGGACCTGGGCTTCAAACCGGCCACGCAGCGGTACCACATCCTGCACCTGGGATGATTTCAGAACGAAAACATGGGGATTTCAGACTTCAAACAGAAAACAAATGGGAGATGTCTTAACCTCTGGTAAACTAACATAGCTATGGAAAATCACCATTTTTCATGGGAAAATCCACTATAAATGGTCATTTTCAATAGCTATGTTAAATTACCAGAGGGTAAATTAACAATAAACTGGTGGATCTGTGACTCAGGTGATGATCACTGTGGGTTCTCCATGGACTATAGAGGTTACCCGGTAGCCATAAATTGTAGAATTCGAGTGGATTCCATTGGGTAAACAAAGGATTTTCAGTTATTCACGCCAGTCCACTTTCCCTTATATATAGAACTGAGGTTGGAAAATAACTTATACCAATAAAGAGATTCTATTGGAGCTGCCTCAAAGACGTACTTTGAGATAGATCAGCATGCAAAGAGCAAGGGATTTTGGCTTAAGGAATCTCAGATTCGCCAACCTTAAGCCTGAGATATTTTTGATATTGTCCAACCAGCAAGCACCCAACTTCCACCCAACCACTGAGCTATTCTGGTTGGCTTAGATGAGCCCTTGAGTGGTTAGTATGTTTGTCTAAAAAGATGTCCCGCTTCGCTGATAGGTGGATGTTGCAGCGCATGTGATTCCAAACATGAGGGAGCCACGAAGCATACCATTTCTTGTCTATTTTTTTTTTGAGGATAGCACTCAATTACTAAATGTTTGCGTTTTATAAGCTGATTGAAATTGTAACCAAAGTTTTGCTTCAGAGTCCATTTTAAGAAATGTTTATGTTTTATAAGCTGATTGAACTTGTAAAAACCACGTTTCTTCCCGCTTTTCTGACCTTCCACATCTTCACTTTTTTTTTGTTCAAGGAGTCTGACCATGCGCCAGACGGGAACCCATAGCTTTAGCATCAGCGATGGTGGCGATCCCACCAACGTTTGGAGCAGCGATTTTCGTCTGCATGGCTGGTTGGATGATCTCTATGGAGCCGCGGCAGTGTCTGTCTTTGATCCAGAGGACAGGGACGCTTGGCATTTTCCAACAGAGGTGATTGATGCTACATATTTATATGTTGGCCGTTTAAAACACTATTTTCTTTTTGGAATCTATGGGGAATCTAAATCTCGATATATGATATTTAAGATATACCAAAGATATCTATATCATATATCTCTATGATCTTATGTAACTGTTTGTTGAAGCATTTGTTGGGTTCTTGGTTCGCAAAACTCAGGAATTGGAGCTGGGGCATGAGATGGCCTATCAATCGGAGGGTGAACACAAGCTGCGCTTGGTGACCTTGGGCGATCAGGTCTTTGAAACGGATGAGCTGGATCCACAAGGATGGGTCTCCTTCAACAGGACCCGTCCCTTGGTTGACCCAAGGAACCGCGCAACAAGGGGGTCATGTCAGCTGCGATGCCGACTGGTCATCAATCGTGGGAAACCCGGTGATGGTGGAGAAAAAAAAATATATGGAATCTCTATGAATCTCTGACATATAAGCAGTTCCATTCTGACGTATAAATATTCATAAGAGATCATAAATGGATGACATCCATTAAACATGTAGTAGAATATACATATGATATCATATGATTATCCATTGATTGACTACTAATAATATAGTTATCCATAATATACATGAGTATAAATATAGTATATATCCATGAGTTCCCTTACTTTATGCATGATTTTCCAGCTTTAACCAGGCTTTCCTGGGTGAGGTTTGGAGCCGGTGGACAAGGCCAATACAAAGGCATCCCGTCATCCCACGTGCCATGTGAAAGTGACGCTTGGTGCATCACTTGGGCAATGGTGGTACCCTCTGGCAATCATACAAAAAGCTATTGAAAATGACCATTTATAGTGGATATACCCATTAAAAATTGTGATTTTCCATAGTTATGTTAGTTTACCAGAGGGTAGGACTTCCGAAAAACGTGAAAAATGGGTGATTGAGATTGAGATTGATTGAGAGATGCTGCTGAAACAATCTCGAAATTCGCTGTTCTGCATGGGATCTAGGCTTGTAGCCTGATGAGCGGCTTGCTTGAAGAGGTAAGGCGATAGTGCATCCCCTATTGACATTCAAAATACACAAGGTGGTCCCGGAAACCCGAAATTTAACGGTTCATCAATTCGACCCAGAGGCTTCTTGGCGGTTGATTTTTTGACTTCGCAGACAGAGAAGCACTCCAGCTAGAATCGACGTAGAAGCTTGATGCATGTTTGTTGAGATAGCTCTGAACCCACTAACTGGTGTTTTAACTCATTGATCCACAAGGTGAACCTCGGATTCTCAAGCGGTAGTTAGACCTGGATCATCTAAAGACGTCGAATTTGTGTGGATTTGACTCCAAAAAGGGCCAGGGCCATCTATGTGTTACACTTGGATATTACAGATCAAGTACCTTGCGCTGTTTGCCGTCTCACGAATTGCCACGAATGCCCTAAGGAAAGACAAAATCCTGGACAAACGCTTATTCCCAGGGCGCTGGCATTCATTGACGGTGACGGTGGATAGTGTTCGCGGCTTGGTTGAAACTTGGCGCCGCACGGATCGACGAAGTGATAGCGTATGATGCGTAGAATGCGTAGGATGCGTATGATGGGGTACTGAGGTGAACGTTGTTAATTTTGATCAAGCGTATTTCGCTCCACCAAGTGGTGTTTGAATTTCTTTGATTTACATTTACAGTAACTGATCACCGTATCACCATGTATCATCCTAATTCACCCTGGGATTTTCTTTGCATATCATCCACTCTTCCATATATTTCCATATTTTTTTCAGCTCCTTCCGAGAAAACATCTCTCCGTGGATCTCAAGCAACGTGTGACACTAGCAGGTGATGAGATGTGCGTCTACTTGGATGGCATTGCTGTGGATAAACCCATTGACATCTTCGAGAGCTTCGGCATGGGCCGTGGAGGTGGTTGGGGGGGGCGCTTCCCTGCGGGTTTCAATGGTTCCAGTGGTGCCTTACGAAAAAAGGGATGGATGATATGGTTAATAGGTGTTAATAGATGATGGTTGATCTGGTTAATAGATGATGGATGATGATGGTTATGGTTACTTAACGTATGGTTTTCCACTTTTTTCATAATGTCATAGATGATCCATGGTACAATTCATGGTGGGATGGACATTGCGTCTATCAACACCACCTCATTTATGGGTGAAGCTTAGTGAATAAAATGGTTATGTGTACAATCCCCGACAAACAGATATGTTAATAGAGACCCCTGAGAAATGTGGCCCATGGTACTTGGCTGGGAACACCCAAGACCTCAGAGCTGAGCAAAAGTTCACCAGTGCCGCTGCGTGCTTCAGGTGGACGAGAGGGTGGGAAGGATCGCAGAAAAGGCGTTTCAGAGACGGGAGCTGCAGAGTACGAAGCCTATTCCTATGGCGGCTTCGGTTATTCCTTTCAATCGCCCTTTGCTGTGCCACAGGCCCATCCCCGGAGGGGGGAAAACTGGTGACTTCCCCAAATCCAGCGTTGGATGGTCCACATACGATGTCTGTACCATCATAGCAACCCCTGTACCGTCTGGGAATGTAGCTTGGAAAGGAAAAAGCACTGAATCTTCAACATGTGAATCACCTACAAATGGCTGACTTTGCTAAAAACCAAGGATAACCCAAGATTAGTCGGATGAGGGAAGGCCTCCCAGTTTTTGGGGAGACCAGGAAGGCTTCCTGCTCTTTGCCAGCAGCAGCATCCGCAGTATGCCGGGAGGAACCAAGTTGAGGAAGGCCCTTGGGATGGTTGGGCGTGGTTGGGAACCGAGGAAGGCCCTCATCGTTTAGCCCTGGCTAAGCGAGGCACTGAAACATGGAAGGATTCATCAGTAAACCTAACGAGTTTCTCGAATTGTGCTTGGGGGGATAAATACTGCGTATGTATAATGATGTATAATGTATAATTGAGTGAAGTCTAGATCATTCGCATTGAGTGAAGTCTAGAAGAATCTATCATACCCGAAGACCGTGGATTACACATGGAATGTCCGCGGCAATCCCAGCCCAAGCAGACGCAATATAGTACGTGGTAGTTCACGGCTATAGTCTATTAGTTTGACTTTGCATCCTTTGATTGTTATAGCCATAGCATGCTGTTTCGCCGCTCCGCCTCCTGGGCTGTTCCTGTCGCGCGCGGCACGCTTCGATGGGAGTAGGTAAGCGACGCAGAGGTTGAAGTGTGTTACGCGTTTAGCCGCTCTTTGCTTTCTTTACGCTGGTGCAGTTGCTAGGCTATAGCGGCAGAGATCCAAGATCACCCCTTCCAAACACACTTGCGAAAGTGGAGCAAGGTGCTTCATGATTTTATTACCGCCAATGTGTTCTGTCTCTTTTTATTCTTGCAGGACCCCAAAAAAACCGCCTATGTGATCGCGAGCGGTAACTGACCCTCCTAGGCCGACTGCATCAAAGCCTGCACGTCTACATAATGTATAAATAAATCAATAAAAATATATAATATGCATATTGGATCAAAGTATATGCACACATTCATACACATTCATACACATACACATACACATACACACATACACACATACACATGCATGGATGTATGCATGCATGCATGCATGCATACATACATACATATATTTATAAATGGGCTAACGCCCTGGTGCCGCCGACCCCCTTTCACGGGTGGAGGAGGGAAAGCGCATATATATATATATAAGTCAATAAATAAATGAATAAATACAAATAAATAAATAAATAGATAAATAAAAAAATATTTTTTTCAAACTTATATACCTGTATAATTATATATATGCACACACATACATGTGCATGTATATATATATATATACATATCCAGATCCATGAATTTGTTTGCTTGGACTGAGCAGCCCAGCAGCTCATTTTGCTCATTTTGCCCACCACGCCCTTCGAAAGGTTTTTAAGCGTGCCCAAAACGTGCCACGCAGCAGTTTCGAAACCCAATAGAAACAGCTTGTGGGCCTAGGGAGGTACCATGGCAAAGCAGGCGCGGAGCCTTCGAAAGCTGCTGCGGAGCGTTTTGAGCTTTTGAAGCTTTTAAAGCGTGCCGAACGAATGAACCAATGAATCAACGAATCTAAGAGTCAACGAATGCATGACTCAATGAACAAAGGGATGGATGGATGAATGAAAGGATGGATGGCCAGGCTACTTTTCTTTGTTGAGCTACTTCTTCACTGAGCGACCTTGTCGCTTCTTCTCGAGCAGCCACTTATCTGGGCTACTTGCGGCTGCCTCACTGAATGACCGATTCACTGATTCATTGATTCACTGAATCGATTCACTGATTCATCGGTTCGTTGCTCCATTGATTCACTGCGTTGTTGCTGATTCATTGATTCATCGCCCCGCTACTTCATGCATTCTTCGTTCACTCATTCATTAATCACAGATTCATCGACTCACTAAATCATACATGCAGTGATTCACTGATACATTGTTTCACTGAATCATCGATTCATTGACTCATTGATTCACTGATCCCTCGATTCATTGATTCATGGGTTCACTGGTTCATTGAGTCATTGATTCCCTGATTCATAGGTTCATTGGTTTATCGATTCATTGGTTCAGGGGTTGCTTGATTCATTGAGTCATCGCTTCAATGCTTCGTTGATTCATGGTTCATTGACTCACTAATTCATTGACTCATTGGTTCATCAAATCATTTGTTTAGTGGTTCATTCACTCAGTGGTGCACGGATTCTTTCATGTCATTTCATTGGCATCTCAACAACCATTTGCTCATTCGTTGATGCGGCTCACAACTTCAACACTTCATTGCTCCTGCATCGCAAAAACTTTCTTGTAGGCCGTTGTTTTTTTTTTTATAGCCATGTCCTGTTTCGAAACTTCCGCCCCAGCGCGGTCTGGGCATTACCTGGTACATATATATATATATACGTATATATATATACGTATATATATATATATGTATATATACATATACACTGTCATATGTACACTTGCGTGAGCACTTCGTGAAAACAGTGGCTGCAGACTATGGCAATCCGTGATACTATTGGGATCCGACCAGGCTATCTTCCGGAACACTATCCTGAACGCCAAGTCCATCGAAGATCAGTATGTGAACAGTCGCCACAAGCGCCGGCCACCGCAGATCCCACAGAATTTGACCCTGGCACCCATCATGAAGAAGAAGGTCAGCGGAGTTATGCTGGATTTTTGTTGGGGGTTCCAGCGATCTTATTCAATCTGACGGGGTGCTTATAGTGGTGAACCGTGGAGGGAAAACTAAGTGATTTTTGTCTGCATTGACTATGGCATTGGGCAACCGTTCAGCACCCAAAAGTTGGGTTGGCGAACATTTGAACATTCCACCTATTCTGTTTGTTTTCCGGAAGCAGAAAACGATGGTACTGGTGCGGTTAACCCTTGTTACAATCGCTTTTGGTCCGAGTCACCAGAAAACCCTGCCCCCCATTAAATCCCTCAACTGCGCCTCCAATTCATAGATCGAATACTACACATTGTGGGGAAGAGAAGGAATTACAAGATGAATAGCGTAAGATTCGAAGCTCACCCCACAGCCAGATGGGTAAAGTATAGACTGATGACTTCGGGGATGACAAGGGTCAGATGTTCCTGAGCCTCGCTGATTGGTCAGAATGGTTTTCGCCCAATGAATCCCCTGAGGACACGCAAATCATCAACGTAGCCGACGTAGCCATTGAAACTCCCATTGTATTTTACCAAAGGAGGTTTTTTTTTCGGCGCAAAATGGTCGATGCGTCAATGATGGGCCAAATATTCAATGGGCCAAAATCCCAATCTTCATCAGATCATGTCACATATTTCACCATTTTTTCATGGTTAAATCAGTGAAATCCCCCAATTTTCGGATGTGATCCCCATTTTTCACCTGGTTTTTTTGCTGGAAACGTTTGACCCACGGTGCCAGGCCATCCCACTCTGGGTCCATGGTTCCTATGTGGCCGAGTTCTGCAACCCCTTCGTGCCGGCCGCAGGTGCCATGGATCCAGATGGATCCAGTGGACCGGGACGGTCTGCCACCTTTTTTTGGAAAAATCAGATAGTGGTTGTAATTTTTTAGTTTAATATATTGTGGCAGTATCATAATATTATGATTATCAGATATGGTTCTATATTACTATGAGATAATCATAATATACTGATAATCATCATGATAATATATTGATGATTATATTATGATAATATATATGATATCATAAGATATTGATAAATATATCATGAAGTGCTGATGATTTTGATGGGGTTTCTGATGCCGCGTGCTGATGATTTTGGGTTCCCCGAGGCGGACCTCCACAGCATCTCTATAGCGTCTTTTGTATGGCGCTGGAGGCCACAGTGGAGCCCTAGCCGCGTTGAAAATCCAGGAACTAAGCATGGAGTCAGGCTTTATAGCTGGGAACATCCGAAATACCATCTGGTTATTTAACATAGCCATGGAAAATCACCATTTTTAATAGGTAAACCATCTATAAATGGGCCATTTTCCATGGCTATGTTAAATAACCAGATGGTAAATGGTAATAAATGGTAGATTTTCCGGCAAGCCGTGTTTGATGACGCCACGGAGGGGGTGATCCCATGAAGTTTCTGAATCTGATGTTTGGAGCAGGGGGAGCAATTTTGGCCTCACGTTGCCTCAAAATTCACTGGGCAGTTGCTGCTTATTGCGGCATAGTCTGCGTCACTTGATGGCTTTTTCACTTTGGGTCGCAAGATCCCTGGGGTTTTTGCGACTTTGATGGGCCTTTTTTCCCGCATGGCATGTCGTGACATTGGTTCAGAAACTGAGTGGTTGGTTCTGCTTCCACATCTAGTGGTTTGTTCACCTTTCCGCCTTGGGGTCGCAATGGCATGACCATTACCCCGCGCGTGTCCCCGTTGTTCGATGAGGGGTGTGTCTTGTGGGGAAGCAAGGACAAGATGAGTGTGGGGAAGTTGTGGACTGCCAGTGACATCAGTGGCTGCAAGAAGGTCTTGAATCTTTTTCGAGAGATGGACATTCTGATGTGCCTGGGCCACCTTGAGCGCCATGGGACTCTTTGGAGGTTTTTAGCCCCATTTCATGGCCATTTTATGCGGAAAAATGACGATCAGCGGGATTTGGGGGTCCCCTATTCTCAGACCACCCATCTGGAGAAATTCTGCGGCTCAGACCAAGCCTGGCTGACCCATGTTGCCCATCTTGGTTGCATCAGGTTTCATGTTCCCAAGGCCAAGCCACCTGCGCCACCTGCTTTGTCCAAAGGTGACCACCCAATGATAAGGGTTTATGTTTGGGTCTTATTAACCACCAACAACCACTATACAATGAGGGCTTATTATACAAGCATCTATGACATTTATCTATCTATTATGAACCATCTATCATTTACTCAATAAGTCCATGTATCTACATTTATTGACCATCTTTATTGACTATGAACATTTATGAACCATTTATCAACACTTTTCAATCTATGAATTATCTATCAATATGATTCAACATATATTTACCAATCTACTAACCATCTATCAACATGTATTTTGTGCATCAACCATCCATTCTTGTCGCATATCGAGGCGGAAATGGCATACCCTATGGACCGCCCCTGGAGATCAACTGCCAGGCTTGTCTGCCATCTACCTTCGTAGGTTGGCCCAAGCACGTGCAGAGCTTCAGCCAGGCGGGGCGCAGGGGGCGCAGTGCCGCACCGGTGGGAGATGGACCAAAATGGGGAGATTTTCATGAGAAAATCAGGGACTTGACAGTGAAACAGGAACGATTCAGCAGCAAAATGATGTAATTTTGAAGAAGACCGAAGAATCCACTGTTCAAAATATCAGCCGTAAGACAACCTCATTTTGTTGGGGGTGTTGGAGAAGTTTTCTAGCAAACTGAATGCTTTTTTTGGCACAGCATGACCTGCTGGTTACTTCTATCCCGGTAAATCCCCCATTCTTGGTTGATTTGGAATCCACCATGTTTGTTGGGTTCCAAGCCACCAAATATCATCAGGTGGACGGCTGCTGGTGCCGCTGGGTATCCGCTTGCAGAAGGAAGCCCAGATGCTGATGCTGATCATGGAGCGGAAGGCGAGTGGCAACTATCGCGGCTCGGAACAAAACAGTGGGACGGGGCTCGTTTTTATCCTTCACTTTACGTATGATTGTTATTGTTGTTATTTATAAATCTAGTATTTGTGCTACTTGTGTTATGATGATAATGTGTAGTTACTGATTTATTTATTTATTTATTTATTTATATATATATATTAGTTGTTCATTATTTATTTGTTCATTTGTTTGTTTGTTTTTCTGTTCATTTCCTTACTAATTCATTTAGTTATGTTTTATTATTTATGATCTGTTACTTGTTATAATTAGTATATCAGTGCTCCCGATCTGTTGGGAGGTGTTTGGCTTTTTTTCGAAGCTGGGACTTGCTCCAGGTAGAAAGAAGCAGATTGTCACATGTTGGTTTCCTAAAGTGGGGGATCCCCAAGTCACCATAGGTTTCAATACTAGGCTATGGTCTGATTTGGATTATTTGGGGGTACCCCCATCACTTAGGAAACCACCACATGTACCCACTGGTAAACAAACATAGCTATTGAAAATGGCCATTTATAGTGGATTTACCGATTAAAAATGGTGATTTCCCATAGTTATGTAAACGTTTACCAGAGGGTATGTCGCAGCCTTTTAAATGTTTTAGGCCGGGTCCAAAATCTCATGGACCATATGTTGTGGGTACCGTCTCTTCTGCCATCACAGGGTTTTTGTGAATTTCTTAATGACCAACCACTAAGGATCTCACCTCCCATGTTTAAAGTTTTTGACCACCCAAAGGTGGTTTGCTGAGTTCTGTTGCGTATGTCTTGGTTCTATGCCCATCAAATCTGCGATATAGTCTATACATCATAGAAATTTAAGATGTCACCGCCAAAAAAAGGGTTTTTGATTCACCAAACACATGCTTTGAACCGAATGAATTTGGCTGATTTCAACAGGTTTTAGCCTCAAATTGGTTTCTTCACTCCCTCATCCCCCTACCAGGTTTCCTGGTGGTGAATAGCAGTCCCATTGGCCTGAAGTACCACGCCAGCGATGCGGGGCGGCCCCCGAAGATCCGCTACCGCACCGCGCTGGAGCTGGACGATATCCCGGCCACGCGCGCGGAGGACGAAGGCTTTTGGATGATGCTGGCGCCCTGGCAAACCCTGCTGGTGAAGGGCTAGCCATGTGGCGCGGATATAGAGCTTGTACATAAAAGAAATTCTATGAAAAGATAAGGTCATAGAACTCATAGAAGCATAGAAAACCCCATGGTTTGGGTATGGTTTGAACACGGATTACATGTTTTTGATATCCTACAAATGGTTTGTGATTTTGCAAACGGGGGACGGGGATTCTAAAGTAGCCAATATTATCGGGCTGAAGATTTGAAGTAAATCCTCTGAAGTCTGGTCGGTAGACACCCAGATCATAGAATTCTTCTCCTTTCTATGATGTTGACTGTGCCAGGATTGTTGTCCCGCGAATGGTTATGGATGCATTTTCATTCATCTCCACGATGATGATACCCCCAAGCCCCACGCTGCGTGGACAGAGCAACTACAAGCAGCAACTCAATTTCTGTAGCTGTTAGCCTCCTGTAAACATACAAAAAGATGTGGAGTTTACCCACCATGGAATTAGCTCATTTTGCAAACGGGAAACCATGGTTATTCCACATCTTTTTGTTTTTCCCAGGGTAACATCCCCATCCCACGTGGCTCCGAGGTGGTTACCGCGGTGCAGCCCTGTGACCGCGACCAGCTGCCGTTGTACGACAAGCTGCTGCCGTGGCTCTGCGGCGCGCCCTTGGAGCATCACCTGGCGACGGTGGCGCCGGCGGGTTTGGGCGCGGCGGAGTGGCGCTCCCCGCAGTGCGCGGCCACGGATGGGTGGCGCTACCTGACCTTCAGCCTGCGGGTGCTGCTGCTGGAGGTGGCACAATTTAGTACCTCCAAGGCCAAGTTGTTGAAGTGGTACCTTGGCTACTGCTTGGATGGGGAGATTTTGGAGTTGGGGATGGTTGGCAGGTGTGGTTGTAGCCTGTTATAGCCAAAGGACTCGGAAAGATCTGAGTTGGGAGGTTTGTGAGTGGTTTTTGAGCACTTACTATGTGGGAAGGCTATGGAAGGCTTGTAATCAGGCAAATGGCTGCTTATGACATGCCACCGGGAATCCGGGAAGGATCGGTACTCCAAGCCCTTTGGCTAGGTGCAATATTCTTGAGCCATCAAAAAACTGCCATCGGGTCTACAGAGGAGATCTAAGGCTTTACGCTCGCAGCTAGATGTCCCATGTTGTCTCATTTTGGATTCAAATTGTGGATCTGATGGGACAATATGGGACATGGATGAAATGGTCCCAGTTTGATATATTTCTGTATATATATATTTATATTGATATTGATATTGGTGAGGTCAGAATGTCTGTTGATATACATACATACATACATACATACATACATACAGACATACAGACATACAGACATACAGACATACAGACATACAGACATACAGACATACAGACATACAGACATACAGACATACAGACATACAGACATACAGACATACAGACATCCAGACATACAGACATACAGACATACAGACATACAGACATACAGACATACAGACATACAGACATACAGACATACAGACATACAGACATACAGACATACATACATACATACATACATACATACATACATACATACATACAGACACACACACACACATACATACATCCATCCATCCATCCATCCATCCATCCATACATACATACATACATACATACATATTTATGGAGGTTTCCTAAAATGGGGGTACCCGCAAATCATCCATTTTTTTCGGGATTTTCCATTGTAAACCATCCATTTGGGAAACACGGATCACTGGCCCTGCTGGGTGCTTGAGGCACATGCGTGAGCAGTTGCTGTCCTTTGCAGCCACAGATCTGGCCCAGGCTTTTGGCGCATCAAGGATGTTTGGAGAACATGGGAACTATGTCTTGCCCCAAAAAACTCAAAAAAAATGATGCAAACCAAAGTTTGCCAAGTTCTTGATACAAGTTCTTGATACAAGATGATACAACCCCAAAGTTCCATCTTTTCTGGTCCTTGTGAACATCACCCCATTGGATCATCCGGATCATCCCAGCTAGGCTCAATCGCTGTCGGTCTCAGAGAAGCGACTCTTGCGCCTGGGCTTGTCTCAGCTGTCGCTGGCATCTGTGAAGGTCAGCGGCAACTTGGAATTGGAGGTGCGCTGCCTGCGCTGCGGGAGGTCTGTGGTTTTGTTGGAGTTGACCAAGATATGGGTATGGGTCAATACCTATAGATACATTTTTAGTGGGATGAACATCCATTTACCAGCTATTTTGGGGTTCACTAGGTACCAGGGTTTTGACCCATCCCCATATGGCATGGTGAGTTGAATTTCTGGTTTGCGAAGTTGGGAGATCACGAATGTTTTTTTTGGATGGGATGTCATTTTGTTTTTGGGAAGAGCATCTACTAGGAAAAATCTTGAACCATGTTTAGATAAGCCGACATCTATCAGGGGTGTCTGGGACAGCCAAATAATGAAACGGCTAAACAACATCCAAAAACCGTTAGTTTTGAGGTTCAATGAAAACAGCAACACTGGTTAAGAAACACAGTTTCCGCAAAGTTGTTGAACCTAAGAACCCTAGAACAAGTGATGGTTCGGCCGTTTTGGCCTTTAAATATCAACCTTATTGATTTGCCAGAGCAAGGAATTTATTCACAAGTACAATCAGATTGGTGACATGATTCCTGCTTTCTTCCCTATGTTCTACTTATCCCATCCCCCTAATATTCAACATCCCCCTACAAGCCGTGGTGGATGTAGGGGATGAATCTACAAAAAAATGGACATTTTGGGACCAGAAAAACCATGGGGTTGTGAAAAAAAAATGGGGATGCGATGGGATTATATAGTACCACTTTTTCCATTGACTAGCCATTTACTAAACATATTAACATGTGCTTTCTAATAACAAGTATAACTTCTACTGTAGTAAAGCCATTTATGTTTGTGGCCCAATTATAAGGGTTTTAATTTACTAGCCATAGAACTATTGGGTTGCATAAATACTACTTACTACTTACTAAGTGGTTAATCCCATCCAAGTATAATGACTACTCAAGTGGGGTTACATATAATCTACTAAGTACTATAATTACCATAAACAGATTTATATGGTACTGTACTAAGAAATTCCACTTAGTACTATTAGAACTTGGGTTACATATAATCTACTTGCTATTTGGGCTTATTTCTATCCCATTTTTTTCTCCAATGAAAACATATCATTCTCATCCTTGAGCCACATCAAACAGCATCACTACAACCATATCATCCCATGAAATACCCACGAAATCCCATGAAATCCAGGCCTTTAAGGGCGGTAGCAACGGCAAAGAGCCCTCCATGACGGTCCTGAGCCGCGCCCACAGCGTGGTCACGGAGATTGAGGCGGCCATCGAACGGAAACCCAGGTGCTGGAGGGATGGAGACGACGTCGATCCCATCCTGGTTAAACGTCTACCCTCTGGTAAACGTTTACAAAAAACTATGGAAGCCATGACCCATAGCAGTTTTTTTCTTAATTTAGCGTTCTGAAAAAAAGTTGGATTTTTCGTGATGTAAACGTTTACCAGAGGGTAGAGTTGATTTACCCATCAAAAATGGTGATTTTCCATATGTGAATTTACCAGAAAATAAGCCAAGGTATTGAAATACCACAACCATAGGAATAAAAAAACCCATAGTTTTTTTTTTTATGTAAACAGTTGGAGGTTATATGAATATGAAGCATGATTAAGCGTAGTGAATCACCAAACATATGGCGGTTTCCTAAAGTAGGGAGACCCCAAACCATCCATAGTTTGAAGATATTTCACTCTTGAACCCATGGTGACTTGAGGATACCCCATGTTAGGAAACATCCATATGGGTGAAAATTCATGAAAATTCAAGGCTCAGAATCGACTTCTTTGGGAGATCAACTTTTGATACCCATATAAAATGATAGTTTAAACATATTTAAGTGACTTCACCTGGGGACTTTACATGGGTTAACCATCAGGAAATAGGAATAGGGATATATAGCCAATGGTACCTGCATCCTCATCAAATGGGACCACAAGTCATGAATAGATCCACTACATTTCGCCAGGGTTTCGGGGTTTATCCAAGTGGGGCACGGAAGATGCAGGGATGGGTGGATGGCTGTGGTGATTTGGGACGTTGCAATCTGGTCCAACTCCCTCCCCCACCATGCGGGTTTACTGGCTACCCCTAAAATTCAATCGTCTATCATCATTTTCCCCAAAATATTGCAATTTTTTATGGGTCACTCCTTCATTTCTGGACCAACCCATATGTTTTAGGTCTGCTGTCTCCCGGATTCTCCCCACAACTTGGTTGGTTTCATCAGTTCCCCATTTTTATGACAGACATATCCCCCATAGTGACTGCATCAACCAAACACACTGTTGATGGTTAGCCCCCCAGTATCCCCATTGCAATCCCCAGTACGATTGCCATATATTCCCACAATGAGCATGGGTCGAAGTTAGCCTTAAACATGTTTTTTTTTCTGCCTCTGACTTTGGTAAGTTCACAAAAAGGAACAGAATCTGTTGGACCTTAAATTTTCACTCATTCCCATATATTCCTCCCATTTTTCTGGGTTATGCCTCCCATTTTTGAACTGCAGAGGCCCTACGGCTTCGAAGATCCTTCGGTGCTGCCCTTGTTAGACCTAGTACAGGGCGCCCAGGAGGCGCCGGCCCACGACTGGGGGCTCCATCCATTCTTTGAGCGGCTGCTGCGGGAGCAGCGATCTCCGGGGCAGAAGGTGGGCATCCCATTGCTGGTGCCCATCAACTTGCTGGAAATGCCGGAGACCATCCCGGATTTGGAGGTGGGATGGGATGGGAAGATGGGAGAGGGTAAGATGGAGTCGATGGCAGTGGGCGGGTTGAGATCGAAGTGTAGTTGTTAGCTGGAAAGTGAAAAATAAGAACACATTGCAAGGATGATGCAGGAACTTGGTTCCCAAATTTTATATTGCCACTCTTTGAGTATTGCACCCACCCTTTCTAGAATTTGAAACTACAAGTTACAAACCTAGATCACAGGAATTGAAATGGCACCCTTCAGGCCGCTAATTCTTTGAAGATCGGGGCTTCTGAACCCTATGCGGTGGGTGTTTCAAGTATATTCAGTTTCCACCTCTGAACCCTTCAATATCTTCAATTTTGGGTCAGTTTGGGGGTGGCAAGAAGCACCAACGGCTGGGATACTCCCCAAGTGACCCAAGTGAACAGGGTGAATAATGGATATGTAGGAACCAGGTGGAACCAGGCTGTAGGCCGCTATGAATAGGATATCTTAGGCCAGGGGGCCCAGCTACAAACCATCAATCTTCCCTTTGGATGGGACTGGGGTGCTGAGCCACCAGATGCTGAGGGGTGGCTAAAAACACCAGGTCATTTTTTAAATGTACCAAATTTCTGACAAACACACCAAGTTTTTATCCCACATTTTTGCCGGTCACACCTCTGAAAAACTAAGATGGTTTTCTCTGGGCTGAGTAGGGTTAGCGGTTAGTCATGGGTAGTCCACTTCTAACTGGGGTTAAAATCCCTGCTCCCTAAATATTCAACACTGCAGAAACCATGGTGTAATCCACATATCTGGGACCATAGAATGGGGGTGTTTTGGGACCACGGCCATTTTTCCGTTTACTTTACTTATATATATATCCCAATCAAAATGGAGTTACATATAATTTTACTAAATCCCATTATGACTTAACCATTTCTACTGTGAAAATCCACTTAGTACTATTTTCAATGGATTGGTTTATGGGCAGGAAAACTCCATATTTCATGGGAAAATTGATGGTTTCCGGTGAAGATTTTCCCTGGAAAGCCAATCCAATGGATGATGATAAGTTGGTTAAATACACATTATAATCCTCATTAACTATAGTTATATCTACCGTAAACCATAAGCCAATCTACTTCCAGGCCGCCGTGCGCGCACTACGCCTCACAGAAGAGCTCTGCGCCAAGCTGTGCTTCGTGGGGCATGAGCGATGTCGCTGGGCAATGTGCTAATCCAATGGCCTATAAAAGAATAGGTTGACGGGTTACCATAGTGATATTTAATGACGGAAACTGGTTGAATAAATATAGTGGTCAACCACTATCAACTGGTGAATACTGGTTGATAGTGATATCAACAAGTGATGAATGATGATAGTTGAGACTGAATATGGTGTTGGGGATTTGACCATCAAAAATGAGGTTTCGACAAATGGCAGGACATTTTTGAGGAGTTAACCAACCAACAGACTTGAAAGTGATACCCAAGCCCAAGATGGGGTGAGAAAAAGATCCGTGTTGAATCCAACATTTGCTTTTTGGTTACCCAACTTTGAACCATTACCCAACTACCCAAGTGTTGAAGGACCGCGAGACCAGAAAGTTACTGCATATCATGAACCCGCCTGTGTCTTTACCGGTGGGTTCAAGGTAGCCAATATTGAAGAACCAACCAACTTTGGCCACCAATTACCAGCGAAGCCTTTTTCCCGAATGCGTAGCGAAGGGTTCCCGTTTATAGTTGGGGGTCTGGGGGTTGGACCTTTGTTCGCCGCCAGTTGGTCGGCGCGTCGTTTTTCGCGTCGTTTTCGCGTCGTTTTTCGCGTCGTTTTCGCGTCGTTTTCGCGTCGTTTTTCGCGTCGTTAATTCGGTGTCTATAGGGGAAGCTGCAAAACCTCGTGTCTTTTGCTGCGTCGATGTCGCAGTGTCTATAGGGGAAGCTGCAAAACCTCGTGTTTTTTGCTACGTAGATGTCGCAGTGTCTATAGGGGAAGCTGCAAAACCTCGTGTGTTTTGCTACGTAGATGTCGCAGTGTCTATAGGGGAAGCTGCAAAACCTCGTGTTTTTTGCTGCGTAGATGTCGCAGTGTCTATAGGGGAAGCTGCGAAACCTCGTGTTTTTTGCTACGTCGATATCGCAGTGTCTATAGGGGAAGCTGCAAAACCTCGCGTCTTTGCTACGTGGATGTCGCAGTGTCTATAGGGGAAGCTGCAAAACCTCGTGTCTTTTGCTACGTCGATGTCGCAGTGTCTATAGGGGAAGCTGCAAAATCTCGTGTCTTTTGCTACGTGGATGTCGCCGTGTCTATAGGGGAAGCTGCAAAACCTCGTGTCTTTTGCTACGTGGATGTCGCAGTGTCTATAGGGGAAGCTGCAAAACCTCGTGTCTTTTGCTGCGTCGATGTCGCAGTGTCTATAGGGGAAGCTGCAAAATCTCGTGTCTTTTGCTACGTGGATGTCGTCGTGTCTATAGGGGAAGTTGCAACACCTCGCGTCTTTTGCTGCGTCGATGTCGCCGTGTCTATAGGGGAAGCTGCAAAACCTCGTGTCTTTTGCTACGTGGATGTCGCCGTGTCTATAGGGGAAGCTGCAAAACCTCGTGTCTTTTGCTACGTAGATGTCGCAGTGTCTATAGCTGCAAAACCTCGTGTCTTTTGCTACGTGGATGTCTGTCTATAGGGGAAGTGCAAAACCTCGTGTCTTTTGCTGCGTCGATGTCGCAGTGTCTATCGGGGAAGCTGCAAAACCTCGTGTCTTTTGCTGCGTCGATGTCGCAGTGTCTATAGGGGAAGCTGCAAAACCTCGCGTCTTTTGCTGCGTCGATGTCGCAGTGTCTATAGGGGAAGCTGCAAAACCTCGTGTCTTTTGCTGCGTCGATGTCGCAGTGTCTATAGGGGAAGCTGCAAAACCTCGTGTTTTTTGCTACGCGGATGTCGCCGTGTCTATAAGGGAAGCTGCAACACCTCGTGTCTTTTGCGGCGTCGATGTCGCAGTGTCTATAGGGGAAGTTGCAACACCTCGTGTCTTTTGCTGCGTCGATGTCGCGTGTCTATAGGGGAAGACTGTTCAAAAACCATTCTTGTTGTTTTTGTTATGTTACGCGGATGTCGCAAGTGTCCTAATAGGGACTGCAAAACCTCGTGTTTTTTGCGGGCGTAGGATGTCGCACAGTTTCTATATAGGGGAAGCTGCAAACCCGTGTTTTTTGCGACGTAGATGTCGCAGTGTCTATGAGGAAAGCGCAAAACCTCGTGTTTGTTTTTGCTACGTTAGATGTTCCGCAGTGTCTATAGGGGAAGCTGCAAAACATCGCGTTTTTTGCTACGTAGATGTCGCAGTGTCTATAGGGGAAGCTGCAAAACCTCGCGTCTTTGCTACGTAGATGTCGCAGTGTCTATAGGGGAAGCTGCAAAACTTCGTGTCTTTTGCTACGTAGATGTCGCAGTGTCTATAGGGGAAGCTGCAAAACCTCGTGTTTTTCATGTAGATGTCGCAGTGTCTATAGGGGAAGCTGCAAAACCTCGTGTTTTTTTGCGACGTCGATGTCGCAGTGTCTATAGGGGAAGCTGCAAAACACCTCAACGTTTTTGTGCGAGCTTTGTAGTACAAAGTAGTACTGGGAAGTGCTTTGTGCAACCTTTGTAGTGCAAAGTGGTACTGGGAAGTGTTTTGTACAAGCTTTGTAGTACACAGTAGTACTGGAACGTGTTTGTGCATTTGTAGTACACAGTAGTACTGGGAACGGCTTTGTGCAAGCTTTGTAGTACACAATAGTACTGGGAAGTAGTTTGTGCGAGCTTTGTAGTACACAGTAGTACTGGGAAGTACCTTGTGCAAGCTTTATAGTACACAGTAGTACTGGGAACGTGTTTCTGCAAGCTTTGTAGTACACAGTAGTACTTGGAAGTAGTTTGTGCGAGCTTTGTAGTACACAGTAGTACTGGGAAGTGCTTTGTGCGAGCTTTCTAGTACACAGTAGTACTGGGAAGTAGTTTGTGCAAGTGCTTTGTGCAAGCTTTGTAGTACACAGTAGTACTGGGAACGTGTTTGTGCGAGCTTTGTAGTACACAGTAGTACTGGGAAGTAGTTTGTGCAAGCTTTGTAGTACACAGTAGTACTGGAACGTGTTTGTGCATTTGCAGTACACAGTAGTACTGGGAACAAGTTTCTGCAAGCTTCGTATTACACAGTAGTACTGGGAAGTAGTTTGTGCGAGCTTTGTAGTACACAGTAGTACTGGGAACGTGTTTGTGCGAGCTTTGTAGCACACAGTAGTACTACACATTAGTACTGGAACGTGTTTGTGCGAGCTTTGTAGTACACAGTAGTACTGGGAAGTAGTTGTTGCGAGCTTTGTAGTACACAGCAGTACTTGGAAGTAGTTTCGTGCAAGCTTTGTAGTACACAGTAGTACTGGGAACGTGTTTGTGCGAGCTTTGTAGTACACAGTAGTACTGGAACGTGTTTGTGCAAGCTTTGTAGTACACAGTAGTACTGGGAAGTGCTTTGTGCAAGCTTTGTAGTACAAAGTAGTACTGGGAAGTGCTTTGTGCAAGTTTTGTAGTACACAGTAGTACTGGGAAGTGCTTTGTGCAAGCTTTGTAGTACAAAGTGGTACTGGGAAGTGCTTCGTGCAAGCTTTGTAGTACAAAGTGGTACTGGGAAGTAGTTTGTGCAAGATGTGTAGTACACAGTAGTACTGGGAAGTGCTTTGTGCAAGCTTTGTAGTACAAAGTAGTACTGGGAAGTAGTTTGTGCAAGCTTTGTAGTACACAGTAGTACTGGGAAGTGCTTTGTGCAAGCTTTGTAGTACAAAGTAGTACTGGGAAGTGCTTTGTATAGTGTGGAGTGGGGAGTGTAGAGCGTGTAGAGTGTGGACTGTGTAGTGTAGATTGTAAAAAGTAAGAGTGTAAAGTGTGGAGTGTGGAGTGTATAGTGTAATGTAGATTGTGGAGTGCAAAGTGTGGAGTCTGGAGTCTGGAGTGTAAAGTGTGGAGTGTGGAGTGTAAAGTGTGGCGTGTGGAGTGTAAAGTGTAGAGTATGGAGTGAGGAGTGTGGTGTGTGTAGAGTGTAGAATGTGGTGGAGTGTGGCGTATGGAGTGTGGAGTGTGGAGTGTAGTGTGTGGAGTGAGGAGTGAGGAGTGTGGAGTGTAAAGTGTTGAGTGTGGAGTGAGGAGTGTAAAGTGTAAAGTGTGGAGTGTAAACTGTAGAGTGTGGAGTGGAAAGTGGCGAGTGTGGAGTGTAAAGTGTGGCGTGTGGAATGTAAAGTGTGGAGTGTGGAGTGAGGAGTGTGGTGGGTGTAGAGTGTTGAGTGTGGTGGAGTGTGGAGTGTGGAGTGAAGAGTGTAGAGCGTGGAGTGAGGAGTGAGGAGTGTAAAGTGTAAAGTGTGGAGCCTGGAGTATAAAGTGTAGAGTGTGGAGTGCGGAGCGGAAAGTGTCGAGTGTGAAGTGTAGAGTGTGAAGTGTAGAGTGTAAAGTGTAGAGTGTAAAGTGTAGAGTGTGGAGTGTGGAGTGTAAAGTGTAGTGTGCGGAGTGTGGAGTGTAAAGTGTGGAGTGTGCAGTGGGTAAAGTGTGGAGTGTGGCAGGTGGTGGTGATCTCGTTGTGCTGGTGATGTTGCTGTGCTGGTGATGCTGTTGTGTTGGTGATTTTGTTGCGATTTCATTGCGCTGGTGATATTGTTGTGCTGGTTGTGATTTCGTTGGTGGTGATGTTGTTGTGCTGGTTAGTTGTCTCTTTGTGAACCGCACGATGCATGCAAACAAAGTTTCGTTTTCCTATTGCAGAGGTTTGGACTCGTAGCCCAAGAACGTGAATTCATTCGGGTTCGTGGCTTCCATCTTGTTTTGACTGACACAACGGCAATAACATGCAATAACTTTGTAATACTTTGTATATCATATGTATATCCTTTCAAGTTTCTGTGGCGATTTTGGCTTAGCTTATATAAGCAGCACACCCTCTGAGGTGAATTTGGCCAGAGGAGGCTGACGGCTTAGGAAAGAAAAAGCGAGGAAAACATAGACTGTTGGAGGGATGTCTCAACATGTCTCAACATGTCTTAACCTGATTCAAGAATAGCATAGAACAGCCAAGATGTTTACAGACACTCTTAATGATTGTTTTGATGCTACCTTTTGTCCTTTTCAATGCATACTAGTCGCCTGGTTCCACTGAACCTTCTGCAACAATCTGCAACACAGCTTCACTTACACAAGCTATACACCGCGTGAGACACGTGCTGGATTGCTTCAATTTCTCAAGGTGTAGGCCGGTGTAGGTGTCGGATCTTGTCAGATCTTGTGAGGCGTGACATGCATCACTTTTGTTCCTGCAGCCCACGGACAGCCGTCCCAGCCTTGCAGAATTTGCAGAATGCACTGTGAAGAGCACATCACCCATGTCGTACCTCTCATCGTACCCAGCCCACGATATGAAGAAATATGAGCACCATCGATTCAATCAATTGATTCAGTCAACGGATTCTTTGATGGGTGGTGTGTGTGACACTTTCAGCACTTCTATTCATTTGCTAAGGCCATGCTTGCTGGTGAACACCTCCGATTGCTCAGCCACCATCATTGACTGCACCTATGGACAGGGTGTTTGGGACCAAGTTGAACCCTGGGCGTTTGCACTTTGCAGTTCGGAATCTTCAAAATTCTACGTTTCATCGAAAGTGTCATCGCATTCCAATTGAAATCTCTGATACTCTGTGGTTCATCATGTCCAAGCCACAGACCAGGTATTGACCAATCTGACGGTTCGACATCGGTGCAGAGTCGCGTTTGAATCTCAAAGAACGCCAAAGAATTCCGAGAAGATCCAGAATCGAAACGAAATCATCAAACCCAACTTCTGCAATCTTCTGCATGTGTTTTCTATGTGTATTTTGCTGCAAAACATCTGCGGATCTTGATACCTTCCAAGGGGATTTGCTGACAGGTTTTTCCTTTTATGAGGGACACCTGGGACAGGTGCTAACTGCACTGACAGCTAATGAGAATGCTTCAGCATGCCATTTGCCAAGCAGAGGTCGGCACGGCCTCAGTACGGCCTCACGGTTTGAGTAGAGATGAGTAGGGCATGTGAGGCACGAGCTCCTGCCCCTGAAGAATTGTTATTCTCCTTCAAGTCAAGGCGGGATTCGGAATTCTCTCAGGTGCCAGGTGTCTTTGGGTTCAGATGGTTCAGCTTCTGATCACCATTAAAGATCCCAAACTGTAGGCAAGTTTGTCAGGAATATTGCTTGTTTGCTCACTTCCTGATGTCATTGCGTCTTTTATTCCCCCTTGCTGTCGATTTGTTGTTTCCTTTCTTCCTTTTTCCCTTTTCAGAATTTCATTCTTCCTGTTGCATTTGAATGCGATCTTGATGTTGGTTCTGCTTGTGCTTTGCCAGTGATTCTACCAAGGCAGCGCTGGTTCCTCAGCAATCGTTGCTCTCAGTGCGCACTGAAGGCTGGATGATCTCTGGTTCTGAGAACAAAGAGGCGCGAAGGGGTTTCTGGATGAGCAAACTTATGCGATTTGATGCGATTTGTCAGATGCAAACTACGACCCTGGCGGACGTGGACACTTTTTATACCTGCTTCATGTGCTTCATCTTCAGTTGTTTCTGCCGACAGATACACATCTACGGCTTGGGAAAGGAATACAAGATGCATTATTTGAAGTACCACCAGGTGTGGATTTGGACACGCTGCACTGGAAAGCGGGTTGATATGGGTGGATACAACTAGTGATGCTTTTGACCAAAGTGAGCGGCAGCTTTGTTTTCATGATACCTCATGATGTTTCATGGAAACCCCGCAATGGGGAAGAGGTTGCAATGTTTGGATATGTTTGGATATGTTTGGATATGTTTGGCTACTATATCTATATCCGCACAACTATTTCCTTTCTGCAACCCATGACACGTTTTCTATGGGTTTTTTGTAGCAGATGTCGGCTGACATAGATCAAATATATCAAAGTAGGTGCTACGGTAGGTGTTTGATGTGTTTGAGCGTTGATCACAGAGCGACGGAGCGTCTCGCTTTTCTCAAGGTGCCTGTGGTGGCCGTGGCTGTGAATCTCCAGGAGAGCGACACTAAAATCTCCAAACGTTGGTTCTTTTCCTCACAAAAATCAAAATCATACAAGCAGAATCTACAGAATCTATACATATCTGATCTATATAATCTATAACGTCATATAGTCTATACATATTTTTACCATCTATATAGTCTATACTCTCAAAATCTCCCAAATCTACACTGTCTATACACCATCCATCTACTTCATTAACTTCGGTCTTTGAAGAATTTTGTGAATGTAAGGCTATCCCAAGCAGCTTTGAGGGTTCGACGAGTCCATTGAGTTGGAACTGGCTAATGGTCTATCAATGTTGAGGTTCAGATTCTTAAGCAAAGTTCCTTCATCCAGCGGGTCGTCTTTGCGCGAAAGTGTTTGCATGATGTTGATATAATTGATATATTTTGTTGACAATGTCATATGTTGACGAAGACTCCAGTGCTGACTCTTGGAGCTGAACCTTTTGGGTCAAGGACACAATGCTGGCAAGTGCTGATTCGTATGGGCCCAAAAGAGGAGATGATGTTTGGAACAAAACAAGCAACGGTGCAGAAACAAACGGTGCAACAGAATGCAACAGAAACAAAATGAAAATGAGTCAAATCAGTCGCAGAAACGGCAGAAACCATGGGAACCTATGGGAACAGTTGGAACCTGACTGCGGCATACTGCGGCATGTCGGGCATGTCGGGCATTGCGGGGTCGAGTCAAGCCGATAAGCCGAGGTTAGGGCGTGTGGTGCTTTGGAGACGTTTGGACTTCTCCCACATTCCAGACTGAGCTCAGTCTCTCAGGGCATGATGGGCATGATGGGCATGGGCCAATGGGCCCATGGATGCCATGGATGCAGGTTGTCCAAACGCGTCCAAATCGCAACGAGACCTAGCCACCTAGTCGTACTGAGTCGTGTTGAAACTACCAAACTAATCCAAAATCCAAAAACTACGTAAACGATTCATACTGAAATTCATACTACGTTCATGTGTTGTTTACTTTCGATTTGCTCTGCTTTTTTTTGAAACCTCTCGGGTTCATCATGGTTCATCACTCCTTGTTTGCGTAACCTTTTCCCGATGTGCTGTCGCTGTCTCTTTGGAGTCTTTGGCATCACAGTGTACCTCCAAAGCGCAATCTTAGTTTTCAATGACTTTATGTGAATGGCAGGGGGACAAACATGACTCCCAGCAACTTTGTGACACTTCATTTACATGATTCATGATTGACATGATTGACATGAAATGCACCAGTACAACTGTTGTACAACTGGTCACGATGTTGAAGTCCCGTCGACTGAGGTGCCAAGTTGAGGGGGGTCCGGTCCCATGTCCAGCCGTCCAGCCGACGGTCGACGCATCAAGACACATCGAAACACATCAAGACATAAATAGTTTAAGATTCCGTATCTCGATGTGCTTCGTCATATATTTTGTCAGTTTTATCAGTTTTATCAGTTTATCATGATTCATGATGAATTGCAAAATAGACCATCATATTCCCATGGATCACAGTAGATCACTCATGTTGACGTATATTCACCATGTGTTTCACAAAAAAACAAGTTGTCGTTATTTTCTGAATCACGTGTTGAAAGCAGAGCCAAGCCTAAGCCAAAGAGCCCAGTGCTTCAGTGGGCCTGGATAGCATCACTGCCGGGTCTCATCCTGCGAAGTGATTTCAACAAAGTTAAATTACTCCCACTAAGACATACCAAGACCATCTAAAACCACTTCAATCATTTAAGACCTGCACCTAGCCATCTAGTCTAGCCTAGTAAATAAGATCACATGAAATCTAGCTGAATCACCAAGCCCATATCAATTCTAAAGATTCTTGTTTGTGCTCAGCTCATAAATGTTGTTTGTCAGCTTTGCGAAAGCTTTGCTTTATCTTGGCAAAGTCCCTGCACAGCAAATGTTTCAGCGAAGTTCGGAAAAAGTTGCGCGTCACCTGTAGGCATCTCAAGGTTGCTGCACAATGGCGAGACATATGCGTTTTTTTCACCACATGTCACCAACATGTCACCAACGTGATCGTCATGATTGTCATGATTGTCACGATCCCGGGCAAGAAAACTTCAGCTGCTTTTCATGCTCGATTCATTCCCTTCCTATGAAGTTTCTGTTCTGCCCAATCAGTTTGCGAAAGGGGCATTTGACATCCCGTCTCACATTCCCTAGCTGCCCCAGCTGCATTCCTCATGCCCCTCTTTGTGTTTGGAAGCATCGGCACTGCGAGCGCCGCTTCAGGCTCCACAACAACGGCGCGCATCTGATTGCGATGACTGCGTTTCTGCGTTTCACGAAATTTGCGCGGTGACGCGCAATGAAGGTGTCACAAGGGCAGCATCCAGTCCTGTCTCAGACATAGCATCACATTCTGAAACTGCTTCAACACATTGCAGTTTCTGCAGCTGCACTGTGCAAAGTCTTTTGTGTTTTTGTATTTGGAACGTGTTTGAAAGCAATGGGCTGTCTCTGTCTCCGCGGAGAAAATGAGGAAATGAGGATTTTGTTGAAGTGGAGCTGAAAAGGATTCACAAATCGCCTCTTTCGAATCGGAGGATGGAACAAACAAGGATCAATTGTAGAAACGAAGAGACGTGATCTGTGCCTCGAGGCTCAATAAGCGGTTCCATTGCATGTTCACTCTGGGGAGTGGAGAAAATATATGGAGAAACAATGAGAAAGACTCAGCACTTAGTCAATACTGAAAGGCGGGGTTTTAGGAAACCGTTGTGGAATGTTTGGAACAAAGCAGACAATGCGAGGATAAAGACCAACCATACTCCATACTGGGAGGAGATATTTGTTGAAAGGTAGTTGAACAATGTTGAACACCTCTTGCAACCTTACCCACCTTACCCACCTTACCCACCTTACCCGCCTTACCCAGAGTAGTTCAGCACCTGAGCATTGCGAGCATTGCGCAAAGAACTGACCCAGACGCGGCGTGCTGCACCCAGTGCGAAGTCAGTGCGAAGTGTTGGAAGGCGATGGAGACGCGAAACTGGATTCAGCAAGGGACCTTGAGCCATGCAAGTCACATCAAGCCACATCAAGCCAAGCTATGTGGAAGCTATGGGTTCAGCCATCCACTGCTCAGGTGACATGCCGCTGGTAGAAGTTGCGTCCCTCGTGTTGCGTGAGCATGAGCTGGACCGGCTTTGAACTGAGCGACAGAAATCGAGGAAATGTGAAGAAATGTGAAGTGTCAAAATGAACAAACGAAACAGCAACTGAGAGGTGCAGCTGCAGACAAGTATGAGCGGGAGAGAAGCAATCCAAGGTTGCTAATCTGATTTGCCTTTTTCACGGGATCTCATGTCCTACAAAATTGCCTTCTGAATTTGTTTTGTCGGTCTTCTCTTCACAAGGCAAGACGAAAAGCTTAGCCGGTCGCACTGCCGTAGTGTGGGAAAGGCCTCGCGAATTGAATTGGACACGTTGGTCAGAAGCCATGTCATAGATTGTCATAGCGGTTTCCTGGTATGGCTTGTGAAGCCTTTGTTCACAAATGTTCACAGTATGAGTCAGTGGGTGATAGAGATTCATGACAGTCATGGCATGCCTTCTCTTTATGTCGACAAATTGATGTGTTGTTTCCAAACATGTTTCTTTGCTTCGATTTGCATCGTTTGAAAGGCGATGAGCCATTTCAAGGCCTGGAGCGCTCACATACAGTAATAGCATATCATTTCATATCATCTAACAGCTACATAATGATTGATGATATTGATTTGTTTGAAAACGTGTTACAAATTCTGTTGGAAATTGGCTTTGATAAGTCTCCACAGTGAAACATGTTTGTCATATGTTTTTCATATGTTTTTCATATGTCCAGGAGGGCAACTACTCTGGCTTTTGCGAAGCTTTGGCCGTGGGTGGATGCCAAGATGCCGCCATCTCAGTCACACTTGCGCAGCCGCAGGACGGACACGGATCTTTTGTGGCGGGATGTCGCCCGGGATGTCCATGATGGCTTTGGGGCATGCTTTGACAGTGTCCAACCTTGCCAAGCCTTTCTCAATCCAGCTTGACATATCTTCAGAATATAAACCATTATATTCATTATTTATATATATACATATATATATTGATGTAAAGCAAACAGATTATGTGTTTGGTTTTACCATTTTTGACCCTTCACCCAGCCATCTTTTCTTGCAGGAGCCAGATTGCCCTTTAATTGGCGTTAGCAAGGCTGCAAGATTCTGTTGAAGAGGGAATTTGCTCGGCAGAATGTCGAAGTAGCAACGAATCCAAGAAGAGACTAAGAAGAACACAGAGGAATATATTGAAAAGAAAATCAAAGATTAATGAAGTAGATGAAATTGTCAACTTAAGGTCGTTGGGAGCGTGTGCGAAAGTTCGTGTCATAAACTGTCACGGCTGCATGCCTTGCATGTTGCATGTTGCATGCCTCGGTGGGCAGGGATTCCTAACTTTGAGCGGATACCGACGCGACGAAGTTCTTGGCAGGTGCTCCTATGATCTCCCGTGCACTGGGTGTAGAGAACGTACACACCATGCTAAACGGCAAAAACGTGCACGTTTAAGCAATCACCTCTTACTTTTCAACATGTTAAAACAATGTCCTAAATGTCCTAATCCTACATCAGGACGATTCAGTTAACTTTCAGTTAACACATCAGGGTATGCAATTAAACAGATTCAATGCACAGATTGCGGGCATTGTTCAGATTGCTGATACATCCTCCAGTCTGTGATATGACACTGAGGTTCACAGATGTAACATGTGCGTGGGCAGGGTTTTCATCAAAGGGGTAAACATCTGCAAACATCTCATGATGTACCTGGAAACCCCTCCAAATGTCCACATACTAAGACTCAGAAAGCATGATCTCCAATGGAAGACTGAAACTTGCAGGTGTATATAGGCAAGGAACCAGTTGCTAAGGGAGGCTTGGTTCGGCCGAAAAGCACACTAGATGAGATACGGTCAATCCGCACCTTCCTCCACAGACGGCTTTATGCATGTGGGCAATGACCGGAGGAAAGTCAAAACACATTGGTTTCAACATGCTTCAGTTCTCGCACAAAGGCTTAGCTGGCGTATGCTGGCCTTCTTTCTGGGTCATGATGGGTCATGCACATCAAAGCGTGTTCGCTGAAATTCTGCCAGAAACTGCCGCTTCCTGAATCGTGGCTGTGCCATTCGTCAGGAGGCAGGTTTGCGCGTGGATTTGTTGAACATATTTGGATGAAAACAGAATGTTCCAGATCCATCCAGATCCCTGAAGACCCGAAACATCATTCTTTTCTTGATTTAGAATCATGAAGGCGGCGTCTTTTGTGTTTCCAGCTGACTGCTCTCTTTATTTCCTGTTTGCGCACCATCATTGCACCTCTTTGTGCCCATTCAGCCATGAAGATCCATGAAGCGTTCCGTTTCCGTTCCGTTTCCTCTTCTCGTATCCGTCGTATCTTCTGGTTCTTCCCTCGGTCTCCAGGACAGGATGAAGTTGCGAGCGTCAGCTCGCTCCGGGAAGAGCTTCTCAGGATTGCTACAGAATCGCAAAAAGAACGGCGAGGCGGGAAAAATGGGGGAAGAACAAAGAAATCTGAAAGAACTCTGAAAGAACAAGCTTTTGATTCATGTTGATTCACTTTCTTCAAACTTTATTAATCTTTATTCACTTTTTGGGATTTGCTTTGCTATCTTTTGGTTTGAAGATCTTATTCTACATTCTGCCTTGATGGAGCACTTGGAGGGCGCAGCATCAAGGAAAACTATGACTTGCATTTGCTGCGCCCTTTTCCTTGATGGGTCATAATTTTTCATCCACATCTGCAGGGACCGACTAACGGACGATGAATGGAAGCAAGGATGGAAATAAAAAAGCATGAAGCATGAATTGAATTGAGCACATAATACTATTTTTGTGTTTCCTCCTTTATTTGTGTGTATGCCTTTGCATTTGTTGGATGCTCTTGCACTCGTACTCAAAGATGACAGATGCAGATGTCACATCCTTGATCTTCTGGGAATAAGTGGCAAGACAAAATCGGGAACGGATAAAGGCAACCTGTATCACTGTATCAGATCGTATCAGCAAATCAAAGATCATCAAAGCATATCAAAGTATGCTTGATCAACAGATGGGCAAAGATCATCAGGATATGCCAGGATGAGCCAAAGTCAGGCGATTCTCCATGATTCTCCATCCAGATCCTGTCGCCAGGTCTTCTTGAACCTGGTGTGCATCAATTCGTTGCGCGTCGGTTCCACCTTCTACTTGCTGGGCATACAGGTGCTGCATGCATCTGCATGCTGTTGTGGTGCTGTCATGTGGCCACGGCGCGGGGTGAGATGAAGGATAAGAAAGGATAAGAAAGGATAAGAAAGGTCAAAACCGGATGAGCTCAGCATTCAACAATGATTCAACAAGTCAGGCGTCGAGCTATCCTTCACCGGCTATTCGGCTATTCATATTCTCTGTATTTCTCTGATTTCTGTAGCATTGAACAAGGTGTTCGGTGGCTTTGGTATGCTTTGGCCGCATATGAAGGTTGGTTCGGAACCTTTTTGGTACTGACCGCACTGGGAAGTGCTTTGGGAGACTTTGTGCACTGATGTGCACTGCAGGTGGACATGACAAACCAAGGCTCGAAACATGCTCGAAACATTTGCTTGTGCTGTTTTGCATAGGCTGAAGGGCAACAATGCACATGTTGTGAAAGTGGCATGTAAATGTCAATCTTTGTAACAGCTTTTGGAAGAGTCCGTCTAAGCGTGCTTGTTACGTATTGTTACGTATTGTTGCAGGTCAGAGAAGAGATGTACAGGAAGTTGTTCGAGCGCAATTGGACACAATTGTGTGGACTCACAGCTGCTGATAGCACATGCACACGGTGACTTTTCAGCGACTTCCAAAGATCCGAATGCAGCTCTAGCAGTTTCGAGATGTTTCGAGGAGTTGGAATGCATTGCTTTGTCAAAGCATAGCACTTCGTATTTTGTGCGGGTTCTTTGTAGCAGGTTTGCTTCGATTATATGGATTCTACTCTACCCTATTTTGAGTCCTGAGTTAAGCTAGGTGAAGACCATTTCAGAAGCACAACAAGATGCTTTGTCGCGATTACAGGCGCTGTAGATCCACTGTGATGCTGTGTTGACAAAACCACAGCGCCAACCAATACTTCGGCCCTCTTTCCCGCTGCACTGATCAAACTGATCAAGCCTTTTCCATGTTGCTATCATTATGCCTCGCAATTGTCAGATCCTTCACTCCAATCATGTCTCGCCACAATGACTTCAGTATCTTCAGTTGCTTTTTATTGCTTTTTGCAGGGTTGCATCATGCTGTTCCATGTTTGTTTCGTGGATGGAGTGCGTTTATTCTTGTTTTTTGAGGTTGGGAGCCCAAGGTGTGTTTCCCTTGTGAACATGCGTCGCATTGTCCACGGTCCCCGTCTCCCCATGATGCGCTTCGTGTGTCTAGTCCCTCTTCAAGTTCCATGTGCAACATTGTACAACTGTGTTTGGGTAAGCTGAGAAATGCTTGCATTCATTGCTTATGGCATTGCTGATATTGCTGTCTCACCCCTTAGCCTGCAACTCAGCAAGGCAGAGTAGGGATCTCGCGAGTCTCAACAAGTCCCAACGAGTCCCACCACCAGATTCATTCCGTGCAACTCACTCTGCTGAACTCATTCCACCTAGGCCATGCCACCTAACGGACCTAGCTCCCAAGTCATTCCACTTGATTTACTCAAATTTACTCCTCACCCGCTTCCTCCATATTCCTCCATGTTCTCCGTATCTCACCGTGTATTACTAGCTCTCATAGCTTTCCACCTTCGGCCGTTCACCAACGGGACCCAAGCCTCCATCACCTGGTCAGAAACTACAAATCATGCTTCAAATCGCTTCACCTGCAAGCCACCTTTGGTTTCTTCAAGTTTCTGTTTTCTGTTTTGTGTGCCTGCTCGAATCCTTGAACGGTCTCATGATTCATGATTTTGACCTCAGCTTAACCATGTTATATTTTTGTATGTGTTCGTTGGCAGAAAGATATTGCAATTAGATGCAATTGGTTCTTCTCTTTGCGACAGGAAACAGAAACGAAATGTCACGCGCATTTTGATCCTAAGTCATGTGGACTTGGACAGTCAATATGCATTGGGCGGAGTTTAATCTTCGTTTTCCCGGCGTTTCAATGTGTTTGTGAAGTTTTCAGCAATTGCGTTGTTTTTGCTTGATTTCGCCTGTCAAGTGTGCAGTTGTCGTGACAGGTGCCCCTCAATGTGAGTTGGTTACAGCTCGAGGGCAAGGCACTGCGCACAGTTATCCGCAATTTACATCCGCAGTTTACATCGGCTTAGCATAGACGTCACAGACTATGACGTCATAGACGGAGTGAATCATATTTGACAATCATAGTGACATAATTGACCCATGTTTACCCACCACGACGTCACATCACAAGTTCAACAGCAACCGTTTGCCATTGTCACTGTCGGCAGGACCCATCCTCCTTTGTAGCGCTGGAGACGCAAAGCCCAGCTGTCTTGACCAAAAACACATTTCTGGAGGTTGGGCTCAGCTGGGCTCAGTTGGCGTTCATGGTGTGTTCATGGTGTGGTCGGAGAGCCCACCTGGAGGTTGGATTGTGAGCCGAGCTCAAGAGCGTCGTTACTGGAGCCTGCTAGGTCTTTTATTAGAAAACTCCTTTCACATTGGAAACTCAAGCAATATAAGCAATCAAGTTTTGGAACTTGCCGTTTGTAAAAGATTTAGGAGTTGTGTTTTTATATTTTTTGTGCCGTCCGGGTCTCATCCCTGAAATCGCAGGTGGAAGAAGATGAACAGGAGCTGTGGGCTCAAGGGGCTCAAGACGGAATCGTTGAATATCGTTGAATATCGTTGATATGTCAAGAGAATCAATCATAATCTTGACATCTCTTCGTTCTCAGAGATCCCAGCACCCGCACCTTTGAGATGAGAACACATCAACAATGTGTCAACAATCATCATTACACGCAAATCTCACAAGTCCAAACAACAAGCCTTCTGCTGTAGGTTCCTACGTAGAGCTGTCTCGGAGTCAATGCTACAAGGCACGCCTGGTTTCAAGCGATGACACAAAGAGGCTCCATAGAACGCTACAGAGATCTGCCAGTGGAGCATGCAGACCTAGGAGGCGCTAAAAGTACAAGAACAAAAGGGTACCGGAGAAAAGGAACACAAAAATCCTTTGAAGTCTTGTGACATATTGACACGTGATGCGACATTTTGCCAGGCATGGCAATGGATGGCTCCGAGGCAGGAAACCCAAGACCAAGATCCCTCAAAGTCCTGCTACATTCACCGCCCAAACACAGTATAGTATACAAATATAAATGCAAATATAGTATAGTATGTATAGTATGTATACCACAAAAAAAGGAATTATGGAATTATGTATGGGTGGTATTCGCTGCCATTTGCTGCCTGGTTCCTGGGTCAATCAAGAGGTTCTTGCACGGGAGGAGTGCTAGGTCAGGGCCACACAGAACAACACCATAGAATGCTTGAATTTGCCACAATAGAGATACATATTATATATATACATATGTGTGTGTGTATGATGCTATGTGCATAAATATATCGTATACCGTATACATCATAAACGGTTTATACGTATGCGGCGTGTATCCAACAAGACCTGCAGATTTGCCTTTGAGCTTGAGGCACGTGCTACGCGCAAAATCCTGAAGGACGACTTTGCACAGGGAATGGCCAGAACAAGTTGATACAAGTTGTCTTTGTTTGAGGTTTGCACAAAGACAAGTTGTGAAGCATTCGAGCACTGGTGAGAAATCGTCTTTCTGTTTAAGCCCATCATTGGCCAGTAGGAAGCCCTGAAACACGCAGATTGAATTCTAAGCAAAACGGCCTTTGTGCACAGTATGCAATACAGTACAGCATTGGTTTATCACATTTTAACCACAAGACTGATGCATTTCACTCAGCGTGAGGGGATTGTGTCTGAGATGCAGTTAGGGAAAACAAAGTCTGAAATGAATCGGTTGGAGTGATTCTGATCAAACAGAATCTTCATTTGGCAGCCTCAAGGGAAGGGAAATAAACATCATAAATGAAAGTTGTTTCCGTTTTTTCCTGAAATTTGCTTCGTGATTTCATCAATCTAAGCAAGATACACTATTCTAGCTTATGATGAACATGGCCGTGCTCGTCCATGACCATGTGAGGTTTCTTTCAAAGTTTGCTTCCACCAGTACCAGTATCATGGAGACGTTGTTTGAAGTGGCAAAAGTCCATGCATAAACAAGGTTGGTAGATAGTAGTTGTTCCAGTTCGATCCCATGCTCCCCGCGGTTAAGTAGTATTATCTTGTCGTATCTTGTTTTCATGTCACGGTGTTCCTGAGGATCATGCAGAGTGGCTTGATGCCTTTCCTGGCAAGGCAGGACGCTGCAAGTGACAAGATGACAAAAGATGACAAAAGATGACAAGTATCAAGCAGTATCAGATTTATCAACTGCATTTTCTGACCACACTCTACATGACCACCCTTCATTGACTGTCCCCGTGTTTGTGTGTGTGTGCCATGGTTGGGGAGTGTCTTTTGAAAGTTGGCCGTGCAGCTGTAGGGGTTTCCAGAACAGATGTTTTACCAGCCCCTAGTTGTAGACTTGTCTTGTATTAGTATATGACAGGCACGAGTTGTTCTACAAAAGTATGAAATTCCTGACCTCACATCCGATAAATTCATGCATACATTGTGTTAATATGTGTTATAAGGGTTATATGTTTTTTATTTAATATACATCAATGTACGTATATATACATATACAAAAACATACAACATGTGTTTTATCTTAATATGTACATGTTGATTATATACATACGTATATATATATACACATAGACAAATCAACAATAATTAACATAGATTATCTTGAATATTAAGAGTATAATATGTATACATATATATATATAATTATGTATGTGTGCTGTGTGTGCGTGGTCTGTCTCAATTCATATAGTAGCAACTGGAGCTGCAAGTTTTCCTTTCTGCCTTACAGGTGGAACACGCCTGTGACGTGCCCGAGACCAGCACTGCCAGGAAACCGAAGGACCAGACAGGCAAAGAGAAAGATAAATGTTAAAACAAATATGATAAATATGTAGGTTTTGGTTTACAAAAGAAATTAGGTTTGTTTCATTTTGCTTCGAAGACTTCAGCTATGAAATAAGCCATGAAAGCTTTGATGGCTTTCCCGTGCCAATCATCTCAAACCTGCATGCTGAGATACAGAGGAAAATAAAGTACAGCACTTGACTGGAGCTGGAGCTACAGGACGTATTAATTAAGACCGACCTATAAACACAGTTATTGGATGCAACAAGATTCTGGGACAGACCAAGGAAAATTTGATGCAAGTACATTCTCAAAGTTTGGGCGTGCTGGTTTCTCTTAACAATGTCTTAATGCATCTCCGCAGACACTTGAAAGAGACGTTGTCATGTAATGTGCTGTGCTTTTGGAGGGCTGAAGTGGTTGGACTCCATCTTTCGTGGTTTCATTTCTATTGTGGCATCGACCTTGTTGCGTTCAGGGCCCTCTGTTTCGATATTCCGTGACGATACTCCGTGACTGTACGGAGCGCAATCCACACTCTTCCACGGACCCGAACTTTCTTTGAGGTTGACATTTTTTCTAAGCAAAGCAGGTTCCAAGCACTCCAAGTTTGGTGTATTCGGGTGTACTCCAAGTTTGGTGTGCAAACTTGCCGCACTGCCCCGAAGTTTTTCTGTTTTCCATTCTCCGAAGTTGACATTCTGAGGTGATTGGCAGTTTTTGTTACCTTTCTTGCCTTTTCGATTTGTTCATGTTTTTTTTGCATTTTCCGTGCTTCTCTTGTCTTCATTGTCAAGGTCATTGAGATGCTGAGCATCGGCAGTCGGCTACATCCTGATGAATGCACACCGTGTTTCTGCCCAGTTCAACGTTTGTTGTGGGCAAGGTGAAAAACAGCGGAAGGCTTGCAAAGAGCTTCAGAGATAGACTATCAGATAGACCCGAAAGTTGCAAAAGAATGCAAGTTCACACAAGTTGGATGTTTCAAAATTGAAAACTGCACTGTAAGACATTCACGGGGTGTTGTAAATGGCAGACCGCTGCCTAGCCAGTCATGGATGCTGACGCAATACCAAAAGGCATGACACAGGCATGTTTGTGTCTTGATTCACACCGTGAATTCAGCAAGGCAGAACACTGAAACGATAAACCATTGCAGGATATTTAAGGCGTCACCTTTCACGAGAACTCAGCAAGGTGCCACTGTTGAAATGTTTCAAGTGGCAGAGTTGCCCTGAGGTGTTCCTTCTATTGCTATTCCTTATCCGGATGCAACAAAGGGGAGGCAAGGGCTTCCATCCAGTTTGCTCATTGCTGTTGCGAAGGCGATTTGGTGATTTGGCTGGCGTTTGTTTCATTCTGTTCCTGGTTGATTCACGGTTGTTTCTTGACGTGTTGACGCAGCACAGGCAGGATGTACTGTAGTTTCATCCCATGGGCTCGCGCAACTTTGTGTTTCCTGCTGTGTCTGTCCTACACGTTATGTGGCTATTAATACTATCATGTATCCAAATTTGTCTTATTGTTTGCTATTCTTGCAGTCTGCGCGGCGAAATCCAACGTGTTCTTTTACTCCATGCGAATCTTGCCTGACGACTTTCACCGTTTCACCGTGACCTTTCCTGGTGATGTGACAGTCACAGTGACACTTTTCGAAATTGCCATTGAGATCCATTGATCCATTGAGCAATGAGTGTCACTGAGTGTCACTGAGTGTCACAATGAGTCACGTCAAGATACGTCAAGATACGTCAAGTGTCACAATGTTTGCTCTGTTGTCACGATATGTCACGGAGGCCTGCACTTTTTGCCACAATGAGCACCTCAGACGGCCCAAGCGTCGAAGTCCTGCTGACATGTTTGTCCGAGGTCATGATGCATTTTTGCACTGGCAAAGCTTAATTCAAGCAAAGTTTAAAAAGGAGAACACAGGAGTTCAAACAGAATACAGGAGACTGACAGTCGAAAGGCTTCAAGAGTTTGTTTATCTATTAAGTCTGGTGCTTGTTCAGGTAAGAAGAGACGAGACGAGAAGGATAAGGAGGACGGGGGTAGGGCTGAGAGTGAGCTGAAGAGCGACTCGTATAATGATTTCCAAGGTGATTTGTCAAGTTTTCTACAAATTCCAGGATTTTGAAAAGATCTGGCAGGCTACATGCAAGACAAGCAGTGACTAGTAGCAGTAGGAATTAGTAGAGGCGCTAGTAGGAACTTGAGATTACAGACTGAGAATTCTATCGCCAGAGAAGGTCCATGATCCAACATGGCCAGGCGGCCAGACATGACTCGACACTTGAGAGCTTTTACAGCTTTTTACGTTCGAAACCAAAAAAGGGATGAGTCACTTAAAACATTGTAAGACATCTTTAAACTGTCGCAGTCAGAATAGGTGCCACTATTTATGTCCCTCTTGATTTCCCTGTATCCCTCTGTTTTTTGTAGCAACCCCTAGCTTTTTCTTGAGCCCTATGTTTATTCTTAGCACGATGAGACCACTTGGATGTCGGCAAATTGAATTCCAAGGAGACTGACGGCAGCTGAAGTAATTGTTCATGTTTGAACCTCGGCGGAGAAGCATTTCTTCGTCCCGGCTTGCAGGGGGATGATGTTCAACAATGTTTTGGTTTACAGTTTACACAGAAGGATGTGGCACAGCGTAAAAAACCCTTGTACAACAAGTCATCTCGGATTTTTTCTGCAGCCATCTTCTCCGTCAATCCTGATTATTCCAATAAATTCAACCTGTTATTTCCGCGCAGGCTGAATATATTCTTAGTGTGGACACGCAAGGAATACCTGACCCGATGCAATCGGTACCACAGTTTTTTCGCATTGTTGGTGCAAGAAAGATCAGGCAAAGGTACCGCTTCAGGCACACATTGAGTGCTGAAAGTTGCTCATCACGACGTCACCCATACAGGCTTTTAGAAGGTAGACATATTGCAGGGATAGGCCAACACTCCAAAATACTTGCATAGCAACTCATGGCAAGACAGGTACTCAAGACAATGAGACCAAGCCACGCATTGCCAGAGTGCTTCAAAACTCTTCAACATTCAACTACCCTGCCTAGAATCGATGCGCTTAGGAGAGTCATCGGGTTGGGAAGCCTGCATAACAAAGGAAAGCTACATATGCATACATATGCGATAAATATGCGATAGATGATAGATGCGGTTGTACATTAAGAAAAAGTTGACCTTCCAAGAGGAACAATCGCACGATCGCGCAACAATTTCTGCCTCCAGCCATCTCCCCAACAAGCCTGCACAATCCAGCAGAGAATGAATCGGTTCAAGACGGCAGGAAAATATGCAGGAAAGCTGAGTGACATGACTCTGCATCTCCACACCGATTCGCGTACAAATGTGCTTCGGATTTGAAAGTCCATTGGGTGGAAACATCTGGAAACATCTGGAAACATCTGGAAACATCTGGAAACATCTGGAAACATGTCGGCAGTGTGAAATGTTCCAAAGCATTCCGGTCATTCCGGTCATTCCGGGCCCAACTCAGCATTTTCCACAAGGCAACAAGGTCCGAGTCCAGCGAGTCCAACGAGTCCAACGAGTCCAAGCGGAAAAGCTCAAGCGACAAATCGCCCAAGCCGTGCCGACAGTGAACAGATGTGAACAGATGTGAACAGGTGATGGAAATTCATGGAACTTATGGATACTTATGGAACATGAACATCTCACATTCAGGGTTGCCTACGTTTCTTGGCTGTTGTGGCTTTTATACGGCTTTTATACGGCTTTTGGCCTCTTCGCCCTTTGGGATTGTTTTGGCTCGTTGGTTTTTGCGTCTTCTTGGCTTTTGTAGCTTTTTACTTCTGACTTTATATGCATGCTTTTCCGCGAGGAATTGACACATGATTTCAACAAGTGTCCTAACCGGCCCTTTTTCAAGTCCTGAAAACCGTATTTCAGGGCACTTGTTGAAATTTGTTCTCCAACCCTATCTCAAGGAAAACCATGTAAAAATCGATGAACACCATAGGAAAAAATGAGGGAAAACCATGTAAGAGTCAGTGAAAACCATGGACAACTCAAGGAAAACCATGCAACAGTCAATGAAACCCAGGTAAAAATCAATGAATATTATGGAAAATCAATGACAGCTATGTAGAAATCAACGAAATTATGTAAAAATCAATAAACAAATAAATGAAAAGCACTCGTGAGATATGTTTGCTCCAAAATGCAGTAATTAAACTGCATGGTTTAGTTCCAAAATGCAGAAAATAGCAAGGATGTGCCCCAGACTGAATCTACAAAGTAATCCAATATCAATCATTCAAGCTGGCTCGCCAATTTCGAGTGGTCCAACAAAACTGGCGTCCGACAAATCTTGCTTTCAGGATGCTCAAGTGTCACCTGCACAGGGCGGATTCTGTTTTTCAGTCTTCAAAGACCTTAAAAGTACCTTTGCAACATCTATAGAATCTATCAACATCTACAGGAGGGTACATCTTTAGAATTCTATACAGTTCTCAAATGTTCTCACATTCTTCACCTGAGGCACGCCATGATAGCAGCGAAAGTGTACAGAGGATGAGCTCGTGCTGTTTCTCATGTGGAGCCCTCCCGGATTTGGACGCTCCGCTGTTCCACGTTCCGCATAGTTCCTCCACAGGTTTCAGTTTCATGTGCACATTTGCGGAACCCGTCATTTTGCAGTGACATTTTAAGCTGATGCCCTCTTCAAGTGAAGACGCTTGAACATGGCTTTCAGCTGATGTCAGCTGTGCTCAGAGCTGGATGAAACCCTGTGAAGTTTTCATGTTTGTTCGGTCTTTGCGCAGTCTTAGAAGCTGCCTTTCCAGCATCTAACGTGCATCTCGTACTAAGCGCTTTTTGTTGCCACCTTTGACTTGTTTGAATATGAACGACAACATCTACAAACAAAATCAAACAAATCAATTGGTAACGTGTTTTTGATTTTGACCCAAAAAGGGCCTGCGGTTTTGATCCCTCTGAGAGCAGTGCTGCCTCGGGCCAAGACCTGCACGAGAGATGCCACTGGCAGGCCGCCATTGTGAGACGACAAGTCTTGGCTAAGTGACGACCTAGTGACTTCAGGTGACTTCAAGTGACTTAAGCAACATCGATTTCACACAAGGATACACCATAGATACAACAACTTTTACAAATGCATCAGGTCTTTCATGTTTTTGACCAGAAGGTTCTCAAAGTCCCGGTGCTGTTCATATGACGCGGATGCCAAGATAAACCAAGGCACTCTCTAAGGACCCTAAGGCACTCTGAGTAGCTAGTGGAGTTCTGCTTTTGTTCCTCTGTAGTGGCGGTTCCGTTAACATTTGTTCCGAGCTTCGCAAGAAAACAAAGAGGTGGTACAGGTACAGACTGCAGGCACTGCTGTTTCAGATTTTTGCCTTTGGATATCTTTGGATATTGGATACTTGCTGGCAGTTGAACTAGTCTGCTTCTAGCAGACTTGCCTGGCAGCGTGTTGAAGATGAATAGAGGTGTTGCCATATCTGTAAGAGAGTAGATATTTCCATAAAAACGCATAACATGCATTTACGCTCCATTTCCGTCACTTCTCATGGTTGGGGAGTGTCTTTTGGAACTTTCAAGAGGTGTTGCCATGTGTTTCCCTCTTGGCTCAAGTTGTTTCAACCAGAAAAGAAGACGAGCACACTGCAAAAATCTGAACGACATCTGTTTGTTGAGTTGGTTGGAATGTCAGGAGCACTTTGCATGTACCGTTTTTTTGTCATCCGATCTCACGGAGTAGGACGACTCATCAGCACCAGATTCAGCTGCACCCTTTTCCCAAAAGCAAGGAGGCTGAGGGCGGACGAGAACCCCAAAAATTAATTCTTTAGCAGGGCCCGGCGAGATTTCTAAGTATTTTCTAGTACTCTGCAAGAGCAAAAATGGGACGGTGCAAAAAAAAAGTCTACAGTTGGAACTTGATCTTACAAATGCTTCGAGGACAAGGATTCTCACAGTGCTTTTTGCCTCGGTCCAGGGACCACCCAACAAAGCAGTGAAAGGTCATAAAACACAAGACGCTTGTGGGAAAATGTTCGGGGCTTGGTGCAAGACTTACAATAGAGAACTTGTTCCTTATGTTCTTTATCACATACGCGGAATGATTTTTGGAACGCAGCCTGACGCAAAACCATCAGCACTGGTTTTCAGGCTTCCGCAATGCCAGCAGCCTCTTGGTTTAAAATTGGAGCCTGGGAGAGGCTTATTTGTGAATGCTGTGCTGTGAGCCTGGAAAGATCATTGACCGGGGTTTTGACTCGTGTCATGCTCGTCAGCCTCTTTGCCTCAGTTCATGTTTTCTTGCGAACGCAAGGATGCTGATGAAGCGCCGCGCACCCAAAGCATCCTGGCTAACCAGATGTTCGGATGGAGATTCAGCGTGATTCAGCTACAGTATTTTAAACATGGCCTGGAAATGCTTGGAAGACAAACTGCCTGACAGAAATACCAAGAACGGATGGGTGGGACAGGTATTGGTCTGGATATGGATAGATACTACTTCTATGACTTAGAATGGAACGCGTGGGCCGCGTGGGCCTTTAGTGTACATTACCTTGGGGGCCAAGCTTCTTTGAGATTGGGCTATTGGCTTGTTGGGATTTGTTGGGTTCATTCAACAAAAAAGGAGGGAAAGGGAGAATTATGAGAATTGAAAATTGAGACGCCGCATGTCTGAAATGCTTCAAACGATATCTTTCTCAGCACGAGAGCTGCAGAGAAAGTTGCAACGTGTTTGGATTCTGGAGGTGTGCAAGAACATGTTCAGGGAGCAATGGCCGTGATGCAGGACATGCTGTGACATGCTTGTCAATGGCTTGTCAATGGCTTGTCAATGGCTTGTCAATGGCTTGTCAATGGCTTGTCAAGGTTGTAAATTGCAGTTGCCGCTTTCTTTCTTGTGCTGCCTGGCACAAGTTGGTTGCCGACACAGCCAAGGGTGCCACTTCGTTATACGATGGCACTGCTGAGCGAAAGCATCGGCTTCTTTTATATGTGGTATGACAGTGGTATGGACATTTGTGAACTCTTGCTGGCCTTCAGTGACCCACAGCCGCACTTGTAGCTCTTTATGCAGACATAGAATCCTTTCCATGTGAAACCGACCCTAAAGTCAAGAATTATATCAAGCGTATTGACAGACGTGTAAGATAATAGGCACCCCTGGCACATGTCACAGAGCACATGTCAGTAGATGTCGAAAATGAAACTTCGCTTGTTCCAAGAGCAAAATGATCTTTGGGGAAGTGAAAAGAATGTCGTTTGAATTCTGACAAGATCTCCGCGGCCTTCCCAAACACCTTAGCGCCCCTTGGTACACAGGACAATATGCGCGCCATGGCTGAGAGAGATTCTCAGTTGAACCAGCTCGAGGCAACTCAGCCAAACTAAAACTGGGGGGAACTTTTGTCAAGGCTATGACAGCATATGACAGCTATGATTTGTCGAACAATTGGACCTGAGAAGAAGCAGAGAAATTGCCAGAGTATGTAAAGTAGCATAGCTAAAGAAATGGCAAGTACTTTTGAGCCATAGTGCCAGGTGATCGGATTGCTGGACTTATCTCAACAGTTTTCAACAGAACAGACGCGTAGACGGCGTAGAGCAATGGAAAGTGAGGCATGTAGCTTTCCAGAGCTGGGATGATCACGCCGTAGATTTGAAGTTTAGAACCCAGGCTTGCACGAACAGCACATGAACAGCACAAACATCGGCATGCAATCGCAGGCATCTTTAAAAGGCTGAAGATATATCTCGCCGATGTGTGCAGTCTTTGATCTGAATGAGAATGTCCATGCATCTGAGGCAGCTTATAGCCTTTCCCGAGAGATACATTTTGCTAGTGGATTTACCAAGAATGCATGTAGTTGCATGATTCCAAGCTAGCAATATGCTATATCATGTTGTTGTCTTGTGTTTTGTGCTTGTGTGGAAAAAAATCATGTATGGACTGCATGGATATGTGTGGCAAGTGCTACGTATGCGCAAATGTAGAAGTATATGACAATTATATACTGCGCCCTCCATCAACTTTTGTCCGCACAATACACCATAGACGGTTCATCTCTATTACGTGGTATTTTGATTTTGTTCAGCGCATCTTTTCACCGCGTGTTTTCATGGCATGGACACTCGATGTGCACAGCGCGCTCTGTCTGTTGGACTTGTTGGACTCCTTCTGATGTTCGGGGTTTTGGGGGGTGATAGCGACATATAGCGACCGCGTGTGTTCTGTAATATGTTGCCTGTAGATTCGAAATGCAGCCGGCACTTAGTTCTCAAGCCCATTTTCGGTTACAACATGGTTTCATGATGTTTCATGGTATTTGTTTCCGTTTTGCATTTTTCACAGTGCCTTGGGTGCATTGCTCGGTGCTGGGTATGTAGTGGCTGTAGTGGCTGCGGCCAGTGCGTTGTTTCAATGCGCCATGGCTCAGCAACTCGCCTCGGTCCCTATTTTGGCACCGAGGCACGGACAAACGACCTCCAAGGGGCTTCAAAAGCCTTCAGCTCTGGGGCCAAGTTTCCATCTCAGATCTCAGATTGAGTGCAGTGCACGCATGCATTGCTTGAGCATTGCTTGAGCCGAACCGGAAAGCCATGAGGAAAGAGAGGCTTTGACGAAAATACGTAGGATATCCGGAATGTTGATATGTCGAAAATGTCGAAAAGTCAAGCGGACACATACGTTGACACATTCAACATGGGAGGGGAAGTAGAACATGTCAAGCAGAATATCAAGACTTTTTTTCCCCACCTGCCAGGTCCTCTTCCTCTTCTTATTTTTCCCCCTCGTCCTCCGAACACCACACCGCCAGCTCCAGATGCTGTCGGGCACGCCTGGGGAATGCCAAACAGGATGCCAGAAGAAAATGTCAGAATAAATGCTAGAAAGTATGTCAGAATAGATGCCAGATAGAATGCCTGATAGAATGTCAGAGCAAATGCCAGCAAGAATGTCAGAATACATATATATATGTGTGCTATATATATATGCCATATATATATATATGCCATATATACTTCCAGATGGTATGTCAGAATGGTGTGTCAGGGTGGGGATCACTCGAAGAAAGAGTAATTTCATTTATCTTCAACTATTTTCAACAGAGCGTCTGTCAATAAAGATGCTGCATCGGTGATGTAGAAACTTAGCGAGACACAACCAAGACGACAGAAAATCATTTGTGAAGCATGCTATCAGTACAAGCATCTCTTGGTGTTGGTTTCGACACATTGCTCTTGCTCAGAATGATTTATTCCACAAAAAAATCGCCCTTCAGAACCCCAATAGGCTAGTAGAAGTAATAGCGAAGATGTAGGATGCAGAACAAACCCGAGCAAAGGGACAGAGACAAGCACAAAACCCAGATGGAGAGAAGTGCATGCTTTGCCATCAACTTCAAGACGAGCAAGAGGCTACATATCTGGTAGTATTTTCATTGTTGCTCAATCATATCCATGACATCTTGCTTCTGTTTTCAAGATGTCGAAGACATGTGACACCACACAAACCAGATGCTCTAGTTTTCTGTCTGTATTCATTTGAAATGACAGCAAGATGGCACCTAGGTTTTCTGTGTGATGGGTCCATAGCTGAGGCGTTTACAGAGACATTATCAGTGGCAGAGGCCAGGGACCTGCGGAGCAAATAAGACATGACAGCAGCGTGTCAGGTTGCAAAACATCAAGCTTTTCCTGTGGCTGTGACACGCATGTTCCTAACTGCGAAATATGTTGTCTTTGCTTTGCCGGTTGTTTATTGCTTTTACCATTTCGGCTCTTCTGAAATAGAAGGTGCCTGCATCTGTTTTCCCTACAGCTTCCTGAATTCCAGTTGTACTAGGTCAACGCCCGTCCATAATTTGTTTCTTTTGTCGTCAGAGGCTTCCGGATGACCATATGATACCATATGTTGTCCGGTCCATGCTTGGCCTTGGTGTTGAAACCGACCCTAAGATGGAAGTGGGTGGAAACATGTGGAAACTGTAAATCAAGCTGTTCCGGGCTAGCAGGCTAGAATCAGGGTCGCAAGGTTCATCCTTTTTCACCAATCATGTTTGCTTGATGATGGTGCATTCTACGTTCAGGTACAAGCTATTCATTGTCATCGGCGGATCATTGCTCTGGGTGTCGGCCTCAAAAAATCTAGGGAGGCCATTTTAAGATCCACAATTTCAAGTTGACATTCGGCAAGAAACCATCACCACGCAAAAAATCTTGGAATAGCAAGTGCACAGATCAAAGAATGGGCAAGACAGAAAGACTAATGGAAAGTAGGCAGCCAGGAAGCTTTTCACCACACTGTGTACTTGGGAAGGAAGTAAAAAGAGTACTGAAGTCGGTGTTTTAGCAAAAGATTGACGGGACCAGATTTTGCGATTCATTGCAACCCCAGGCCGTGGCATTAGTGCTTATGCCCCGACAGTATTTTTGGTCTGAAGCTGAAGAGGTTTGTAGATGTTTGTTTTTGTCAAATTATGTCACGTTCTTGCTTGTTTTGTTGTTTTGTTCCGCTTGAAAAAGCGATCAATGCCTCAGTCTTCAGCTGTTTGCTTTCCATTTTTCTGGGCCCGTGTTCATTGCACAAGCACCAGGTCTTGATAGTACAACGTTCTATTTTTCCAGTGTGCGTGTTGCGGCTTCACAGTTCGAAAACTCTTTGCGCGTTGCGTATACATGTTAAAGCGTGTTTTGTATGTTACCTATACTGCTTTGTTTATTTGGCATGTATATTTTTTGCGCGCGGATGTCAAGGTGCACGTAATTGAGCAAAACCACGATTGTGGCATGGTTGGCATTGTGGGCCATTTCTTGGGGAGGCGGAAAAGCTGGGTACAGCACATCTCAATACAGCTGATAGTATAATGTGCACGCCTCTATCCGCCACCTATCGCACCGCATCTGCCACTGTCCTTCTGGCCATTGAGCCTGAGACTTTGTGAGTCGCCTATTTGCCTTCCATCTGCGCTCTATGAGTTTCTTGCTTAGGCAGTTCATGATAATCACGGCAGTCCTCGTGGGTGTGGCAGCGTTGATCAATGCAGCTTTCTGAGGATTTGGCAAAGTGCATTCGCTACCAATGGTAGTTGTAGTGATTTTCCGGGGCGACTTCAACTGCGCAAGTTCTGCATGGTTCAGCGACTTTTTTCTCAAGTTTCGTATGTTTCATATGTTTCAAGTTGGGGTCTTTCGAAAAGGCCCTCATGAACCGCCGGGATCAGCTCCAAGCTGAAGCCGAAGCAGAAGCTCCAGCCGCAGAGTTTGGACCTCACGGCACTGCTCTGTGAAGTTCCCTTGCTGAAGGCGCCTGAAGTTCTGAAGGGAAAGTTCAACAAGGAAATTTCGGAGACATTCCAGGACCTGTTGAACCATGTTGAACGCGGTTGAACATTGAATCATGTTGAACGACGTTGAACTTGCAAAGTGATGTTTGAAATATCACTGGTTGTAAGTGACTTGCAAAGTGATGTTTGAAATATCACTGGTTGTAAGTGTTAGTCGTTGCATCCTTTGCGTTTTGCCCTTCAGCCCAAGGCTGGGAGAATCATTGACCCGAGATGGCTTGGAATGAAGTGGGCGCCTCTGAGAAACACTCGCTTAGCGGCTTAGCCTGACGAAAAATTTGAAGAAACACAGCTTCAAAGTATTTCAAAGCAGCCAGGAAGAGTCTTCTCGCATCTTCTCACCTTGGAGCGGATTCAATACGGCTCTAAGGTGTGAAGGAAGCTGAGAGACCTGAAAGGGCACAAGGATGTGCATGACTGTGCACGCGACACCTTTCAAATGGACTGGAGAAAGTCGCCTTGGCTTGGCCAAAAGGGAAATGTTCGGATCAGAGCTGCATCCGCTCATAAGGTCTTGGGACAGTTGCACCATGTTACAACTATTCGCGGCAGCCTTGTCTTTTAATATTCGTTTCGTGACCCAGTTCTTGAAATGGCTGTTGCAACGTCAGCATTCCTCCTCTTTCCTCTTCAAGTGCTTGTTAGGTGTCTCTTTCCTTTGCTTCTAAGCTTCTCTGTGTAAAAGCTGCTATTTGTGTAAATGCAAGAAATCCTCAGTTTAAATAGCTGGTTCTTGTAAAGCATGCCTCTGAGTTGCCAGCTACGCAAACCCTGCACCGCTAGCCCTATAGGCTTTGGTGAAAAAGAGTGAAAGCCGTTTTCTCATGGTAGCGGAGCTGGTTCCGGGCCGTCCTGGGACCAGCCGGTGGGTGGCACCACTACCTGCGGGGAACACCGCGTAGCCTCCATAGGCGCGCAGGTGGTTGGGAAGCTGCGTGAGGAGCGGCCGCTGGTGGTGAAAGAGAAGAAAGACCAGCCGCTTGAGTAGCGGCGACCACAGCCCGTCACTACGGGCAAGCCCGGCCAGAAAGGCAAGGGCCGAAGGAGTCCGGGTGAGACCCGGTGGCGATCAGCAGCTGCGGTCGAGCGGCGTGCTGAAAGAGGGGCTCTTAGAAGAGCCGAGGCGCTACTGCAAGCTCCAGCCCCGAGGCCTGGACAGCCAGTGGACGCACCAACAGCAGAAAGGCTGAGCTACGTTGAGGGGCTTCGGTTGCAGTCAGCACCGCAGCTGGGAGACCCCGACTTCGTAGACCACAGAAACCCAGTGCGAGGAGGAATTCCTGCGCACAGTGCAGTGTCAGCAGCGGCGCAAAGAGGGTTCAACCGCTTTGCAAGGCGGTACCCGCACCTGGCACAGCAGGAGAGAAGCAACCCAGGGAGGTCAGCAAGAAGCTCCTACGCAAGGGAGACAGGTGGAGCTCACGCACTACTTGGCGAAGGGCTTGAGCCGGTGGACGAGAACGCTACACAGACAGCATCTGAGGAGGTGGAGGACGGCAGCAGCAGCTCTTCTTCGGCGCCCACGCACCACACAGATCACCAGGACCGTGGGTGGAAGGACAGTTACAAGACTCCCGGAGGATCGAGACACTGTGATCCCCGAGGACAACCAAACCGAGTTCTCAGAAGCCACGCTGACTCACACACCAACAAGCGTGTGGTACAGCGTAGACGAGGAAGAAACAGAGGAGGCCACAGAGCAGGCCACAGAAGAAAACGAGCAGCAAGGGACTGCCGAAGGTGACTCAGGTGAAGTTGGGGCACAACTGGGCCGACTGGGGGGCTTACGGACAAGGATACGGTTATCACCGAGGCTGGTAAACAGGCGGGTAACACCGCAAGAGGTGCAGGCGATGCAACAACAGTTGCAAGCCCTACAGGAACAAACGAATGCTCTGAACGAAGGGTTGAGAAGGGCCAGTCAGGCTCATGAAATAACACAAAGTAGGTTGACTGAAACGGAAACCCAACTGGCAGCAGCTAGGGCAGCACAAACCGCGCAAAGAAGCCAGGAGAGGAGTCTCATACACCCCAGCAACGTGCCCAAGCCACCAACGTACAATGGAAAGAAAGAAGAATGGGAAAAGTTCAAACACATTTTCACAGCATGGTCAAGCACAGTTCATGGTAAGTATCCTGAGCTCTTGGAAAAGTATGGAGCAGCTAAGGATCCAAGTGATGAAGCTGCTTTTACCGAAGAAGAAGATCGTTTGGCAAAAGCGATGTACACCTTCTTGATGCAGTATTGCCCCGAGCCGACAATGAACGTCATCGGTCAAGGGCTGCACGATGCGAATGGATTTGAGATTTGGAGGCGATTGGTTCGACTCTCAGAACCCTCCTACCGCACCAAGGCATGGGTGTGGAGGAAACACCTTTCAAACCCAAACTTTCCGTCGGACATAGCCACGTGGAGCACCGCGCTTCACCAGTGGGAATCTGAGCTTCGCGAATATGAAAGGATGTTTAGAACATCTTTTTCAGAAGACGAGAAGGTTTCCATTCTCGCACATGCGTCACCAAAAGAATTGCAACAAAGCATATTCATGCACAGCGATGCGCTGAATAGTTATTCGAAAATGAGAAACTACATAGAGCAGCACTTGGTGAACAAGAATGTGTGGAAACGTCCGCAGGGATCTCAGTTTGGTTTGACTAGGGTTACCAACAAGGTCGATGACGGAGGTCCAATGCCAATGGACATCGGTGGAGTTTCCAAAGGAAAAGGTTCCAAGGGTGACAAAGGAAAAGGCAAAGGTGCAAAAGGAAAAGGTAGCTACGACCAGAGTGGAAAAGGAGACAAGGCCTGGAAATGGCAAAACAGCGACAAAGGTACTGGAAAAGGAAAGACAAAAGGCAGCCATGAGAAAGGAAAGGGTCAGGAAAAAGGAAAAGGAGGTAAAGGTAAAAGTCAGAACGAGAAAGGATCAGGCAAAGGAGGCCAGGTGAATAACCCAGACGCAGGAAAACAATGCCACGTGTGTAAGAAGTTCGGGCATGTTGCAGCCGACTGCTGGTGGAAGGTTGGAGCCATGGAGAACTCAACGCCTGCAAAGGAACAGACGGCTTCTTCCACTGGAGGTTCTGGTGCAGTCGGTGCCGTGTCAGATCTCTTACCTTCTCCAAACTCCATGATTTTCACCGTTGGGGAGTCAAGGGTTTCTGCTGTGAGTAAAACAGGAAACACCAGATGTCTCTTGGTGGATTCAGGAGCATGCGAGAGTGTGGCAAAGCAAGGAGACGTTTCAGGTGCAATTGACAGCACTAATTAGGCCAGACCGCTGTTCAGCGTCCAAGGGAACCCACTCAAGTGCATGGGAAACAGTACCCAGCTGTTCAGCTTGGCCGACTCAAAGGAAACATTGAGATGACAGCGACAGATTCTGCCGAGAGCTTAGTTTCAGTCCATAGCTTAGTTGTCATGAAGTGCATTTCACCAAGGATGCCTGTTGGATTGTCACCAACCAAGGCGAAAGCGTCCCACTTGAGCTCCATAGGAAAAGATGGTATCTCAAGGTTCAGCACTTCGCCGGTTCAGCAAGTCACGATGGCGGATCACCTTCGGGGAATCACCCGGAAGCCCACTGTCGGGTAGCACAGGTCGAAGCAGGTCAGAAGATTGAAGAGGAGAAGGAGCCTGATGAGTGGAGACGAGAGAAGAAAGATGGCAAGGACTATCTCATTCGAGTTCACAACACTCCGAGATTCCAACTCTTTTCGCCGAGCAAGATGAAGGAGCTTCCTGGTTCGCTCCACTCCATCCTGCCAGGAAGATTGACAAAGATGGTGTTCAGTGAGAATGGTGAACAGGCCGAGGACGAAAGTCTTTGGACCAGCCGAGGCACAGCGTCAAAGAGCATGGGAAAGGAATGGCTTGGAGAAAGCTGGTTTCTATTGAAAGAGGATGAAGAGGATGAGACAGCAGAAGAGATTGACGAGAGAGAGCTGATGCCAGCAGGTATGGTGAATGCGGAAGCCGCGCAGGAGGAATCACTTCGATTGCTTGGGAAAGGAGCAAGAAGAGAGAAAGGAGATGCAGAAAGTGATGGATATGAACCCTCCATAGCAAGCACAGAGGATCTAGAGAAAGCCATGGATGTAGGTGAGCCTGAGATGCACAAGGCAAGCATCGAAGCACCACCGCAGCCTTCAGCAAAGGAGCGGGAAGAACACAGACTACATCACGCAAATTTCGAAGCATGGTGTGATGTGTGCAAGGACAAGGCAAAGACAAGCACCAGAAGCGCAAAGAGGAATCAAAAGAACACATCATCTACTCAGACTATCTATTCTTCAACAAGGATGGACACATCATTGACAAGGAGACCGGATTGAAGCAGAAGGGCTTGGTGACGGTGTTGACAGCAATTTGCAAAGACAGCCAATTTCCGTTTGCCATTGTGGTACTAGCGAAAGGTGGCAACGAGTATGCTATCAAAGCGCTGATTACATGGATTGAGGAACTTGGTTGGGACAGAGCCACCATTCAGGTGGATCAAGAGAACTCACTGCACAAGCTCTACGATGAGGTCAAGAAGAGAATGCCGGAAAAGAAAGTCAAGCTGAGAAAATCACCTCGCTACAGTTCGCAATCGTTGGCTGATGGCGAAATGGTGAAGGGCTTGATTGCGGGAAAAGTCAGGACATGGATGGCCGAGATAAATGAAAACTACAAGGTCAAAGCCAGCTGTGACCATTACATATTTCCTTGGGTGGTCAGACACTCAGCATGGACTTTGGCCAGGTTTCATATCAACAAAAGCAGAACGACCCCATATCGAATCATCTCAGGTGCCGAATACACAGGCGAGCTGATTCCGTTGGGAGAGACAGTGATGGCAAAGTTCCCTCGGGCAGCTCACGAAAAGTCAGCACCAAGGTGGACCAAAGGCATTTATGGAGGCAAAACCAGCAGTTCCGATGAGTATCTTGTGCTCACGGAGTCGGTCGCTCAGAAGTACCGCACTGTGAGGAGGTTACCAGTTGGTTCTCAGTACCAGAAGGAGACCTTCGACAAGATGCGGGGAGCACCGTGGAATGCGGTTTTGGGAATAACCAAAAGCAAGCCGGATGCAGTCGTGTCCAGAAAGGCTTTGGTTTTAGCACCAGAACTGGCAAGCGAAGAGGTCTACGACTTCAAGGAAAAGCCAGAGAAGGGACAACCGTTGGCAATTGAAATTCCAGCGCCCATGGTTAGATTCCGGGAGGGCAAAAGAGAAGATCGAAAAGAGCCAAAGGAAGCTGCAACCAGCAGCAAAGAAAGCAAGATGACTGTGGATGATGAAGGACCAACGAAGGAGAAAAGATTGAGATTGAAGAGCCAGATCCAAAGAAAGGTCAAGGCAGAAGCAGCAAGATCAGGGTCAGCGGCAGCAAGTGCCGGACTACCGGAAAGGTACGACATAGCAACACCAGAAGATGCGCCAATGAGCAGGCGATCAACTGTAGAGGCTGAGGAGCCCGAGGTCAGCACAGCCCAAGACATGATTGCGGCAGTTGCTCAGAATGGGGAATGGAGATATGCAGGAGAGAAAAGAAAGACAGGTGGTCACTATGACAAGATACATGAGTACAAGAGATGGCTGGAGAAGAACGGAAGCTATTTTAGCAGTTCCACTGGCCAACATCATGGACTACCTTGACAATGCGACCAGAGACGAAGAAGTTCTCAGAGAAGCCAGGAAAGAAGAGTTGAGGAAATTGAATGAAGTCTATGGAACTTTCAAACCCAGAGACAGAAGAGAATTGAGCAAAGAACTCACGGTGTTTGGGTACAAATGTGTGGACAAAGTCACAGAAGGAATGGCAAAGTCTCGTTTGACGTGCCAAGATTTCAAAAGAAAGAACCAAAGTGAAGACAAAGACATTTCGGAGACACCTAGCTATACTCCACACGAAGCATCAAAGAAGATGGTGGAGGTCTACAGTTTATTGCACAACTTGCCAAGGGCCAAGGCGGATCTTTCTTCGGCGTTCCTGATCGCGAAGGACCAGGAGACAGCAAAGGCCAACCAGTCATGATGAAACCTCCGCAGGAATGGTTGGAGGATTACGATGTTTGGTTAGCTAGTCAGCCTAAGGAAATTCAGGACGAGTTGAAAGACGTGCCAGCCTCAGAAATTGTGTGGCAGGTCGATGGAAATTTGTATGGAAGACAATCAGCTGCAGTGCAATACCGCGACAGACTGGAAGAATACTGAAAGAAGAACTACCGAAAGAAAGTATTCCTTTACGAGGGGAAGCTGGACGCATGTGTCTACAAATGTCAACTGACAGGAACAGTATTGATTCATCACGTGGATGATTTCGATGTATGTGGACCAGAACATGTGTTGGTTGATTTGTTGACAAACCAGTTACCGTCAAAGGGATGCAAGCTGAAAATGGGAGGCTTGGAATACCCAGGAAAGACGAGTGACAGAACGTCTGAGTTCTTGGGAAGAACCAAAATAAATGTTGAGGAAGCAGCTGTGACAAAACTGAATTCAAAACACATCAAAACAATTCTCCAGATGCTTGGATTGGAAAATGCGAAGCCGAGTCCTGTACTAGGGAGAATACTTGAGTTGCAGAAAGACAAACCGTTGTCTCCAGATGAGAAAGAGACATATGCGAGTTGTGTCGGAAGTGCAATATACTTGTCTCAGGGTCGACCAGACATAAAGTATAGTGTGAAAGAATTAGCAAAACACATTCGTGAACCAAGGGAATGTGACATGCAAAACTTGAAGGTCTTGGGAAGGTATTTGACAGGAACTCAGGAATATGGCCACGTCATCAAGGTTTTAGATGGTGTCACGACGAAGTCAGTGCCAGTACAAGCATACTGTGACTCAGACTGGGCAGGTGATGGCGAAACCCGAAAATCAACGAGCGGTGTGGTAATTTACCTTGCTGGAACACTTGTTGAGTCAGGAGCTCATACACAGCAGGTGGCCCCAGCCACTAGCTCGGGAGAAGCAGAGATCAGATCTCTGACAGAGTGTGCAACAGCAACACTTTTCGTCAAGCACTTAGCAGAGACAGCAGACTTTGGAATGGATGTTGACACGCCTAGGATTTGGTTTGATTCCAGTGCAGCGTTGCAAGCTTCTAGGAGAATGGGAGTTGGAAAGATGAGACATATTGCAGTTTCACATTTGTTCATACAAGAATTGGTCAAAACGAAACAGGTAATCATAGGAAAGGTGAAAGGCGAAAAGAACCCATCAGACGTCATGACAAAACACCTACCAACCGGAGAAGCAATGAAACGAGCAGTTGAAATGTTAAGTATGATAGACCTTGCACAAGAAGGCTTGGACAGACACGTGACAAAGCACAAGATGAAGGCAATAGGAGCACTCAACGATGAGACCCAGGAGGGAAGCAACAACAAGAACAAGAAACTCAAACAATGTCAGCCGTGTATCAGTTCAGTGACAATTAGACAGTACCTGAGCGCTGTGAATCGTAGCAAGAAACATGGGGGAAAAACCGATGACTGTGATGACGCCCATGTTCTTGCCGGGTAACACTTGGTTGACTGCACTTGAGCTTTTGTTAGTCATTAGCCTAGTTCTCAACCTGATGTTCCTGTGCGGCTGTTCGGTAGCATTTTGCTGCTGGATTTTAAAGCCGGGTCGTCAAAAGGCGTACCACGAGCATGTCTGGATCACCCGCTACGGTGAGAGGGCACATGCAGCCAAAGAATGCCCAACTCTTGCCAATAGCGTTGACGCAAAGAAATTCAGGATGTGCTCGAAGTGTTTCAAAGTTTTGGTCGATGCAGGCCGAAAAGACAAATGAGCCCAATACACGCAACTAACAGGGGAGAGAGCCACGCTTTAAGGAGGGTGCAAGAGATCCTCAGTTTAAATAGCTGGTTCTTGTAAAGCATGCCTCTGAGTTGCCACCTACGCAAACCCCGCACCACTAGCCCTATAGGCTTTGGTGAAAAAGAGTGAAAGCCGTTTTCGCAGTAAAGTCTCTGTGTAAATTCTGCTCTGTAAAGTTTCTATGTGCAAAAGGCTTTTTTGTGTAAAAGCTGCTGTGCGTAAAAGTTGCCTCTGTGCAAATGCTTTTGTGTGTATAGGCGTCTGTGTGTCGAGGGTTCTGTGTGTAAAAGCCTCTGTGTGTAAAAGCCGCTCTGTTTAAAAACTTTTCTGTGTAAAAGCTCCTCTGTGAAAAGGCCTTTGTGTGTAAAGACTTTTCTGTGTAAAAGCATGTCTGTGTAAAAGTGTGTTTGTGTGAATGTTTTTTGTGTGTAAATTCTCCTGTGTGTAAAGGCGTCACTGTGTAAAAGCCATTTTGTAAAAAAGCGTTTGTATCGAAAAGATTCTGTGTGTAAAAGCTCCTCTGTGAACAGGCCTTTCTGTGTAAAAGTTTTTGTGTGGAAAATTGTTTTACGTAAAGGTTTTTCCCGAGAGCGTCTGAGCGCAGGGTTCTTCCAATAGTGGGGGTCTGTACTGTAAAACATCTTCTCATCTTCACATCTTCTCATCTTCACATCTTCTTATCCTCACATCTTCTCCTCATCCCTCATCTTCTCATCTTCACATCTTCTCATCTTCACATCTTCTCATCTTCACAGCTTCTCATCTTCACATCTTCTTATCTTCACATCTTCTCATCTTCACATCTTCTCATCCTCACATCTTCTCACATCTTCTCACACCTCCACTCACATCTTCTCACATCTTCTCACATCTTCTCACATCTTCTCACATCTTCTCACATCTCTCACATCTTCTCACATCTTCTCACATCTTCTCACATCTTCTCACATCTTCTCACATCTTCTCACATCTTCTCACACCTCCACTCACATCTTCTCACATCTTCTCACATCTTCTCACATCTTCTCACATCTTCTCACATCTTCTCATCTTCACATCTTCTCACATCTTCTCACATCTTCTCACATCTTCACATCTTCTCACATCTTCTCATCTTCACATATTCTCACATCTTCTCACATCTTCTCACATCTTCTCACATCTTCTCACATCTTCTCACATCTTCTCACACCTCCACTCACATCTTCTCACATCTTCTCACATCTTCTCACTTCTTCTCACACCTTCTCACATCTTCTCACATCTTCTCACATCTTCTCATCTTCACATCTTCTCCTCTTGCCCTCTTGCCCTCTTGCCCTCTTGTCCTCTTGCCCTCTTGCCCTCTTGCCCTCTCCTTCTTTTCTATTTCTCTTTTGAAGCCGGGAGCAAGGGCAGTGCCAACGAGACGGCACGAAACGCAACCCTTTCGCACGAAATGAGGGTCGATCGTCAAAAACTGAGGTAAAATTGCGATTTTACTTGTGCCGGAGCAACTCTTTCGCACGAAATGAGGGTCGATCGTCAAAAACTGAGGTAAAATTGCGATTTTACTTGTCCTGGAGCAACCCTTTCGCACGAAATGAGGGTCGATCGGCAAAAACTGAGGAAAAATTGCGATTTTACTTGTCCTGGAGCAACCCTTTCGCACGAAATGAGGGTCGAGCGTCAAAAACGGAGGAAAAATTGCGATTTTACTTGTGCCGGAGCAACTCTTTCGCACGAAATGAGGGTCGATCGTCAAAAACTGAGGAAAAATTGCGATTTTACTTGTCCTGGAGCAACACTTTCGCACGAAATGAGGGTCGATCGTCAAAAACTGAGGAAAAATTGCGATTTTACTTGTGCTGGAGCAACACTTTCACACGAAATGAGGGTCGATCGTCAAAAACTGAGGAAAAAATGCGATTTTTCTTGCCCCCGAGCAACCCTTTCGCACGAAATGAGGGTCGATCGTTAAAAACTGAGGAAAAATTGCGATTTTACTTGTGCCGGAGCAACTCTTTCGCACGAAATGAGGGTCCATCGTCAAAAACTGAGGTAAAATTGCGATTTTACTTGCGCCGGACTTGTCTGTGTGTAAAAGCGCCTGTGTGTAAAAAGCGTCTGTGTGTAAAAGCGTCTGTGTGTAAAAGCGTCTGTGTGTAAAAGCGTCTGTGTGTAAAAAGCGTCTGTGTGTAAAAAGCGTCTGTGTGTAAAAGCGTCTGTGTGTAAAAGCGTCTGTGTGTAAAAGCGTCTGTGTGTAAAAGTGTCTGTGTGTAAAAGCGTCTCTGTGTGTAAAAGTCTCTGTGTGTAAAAGCGTCTGTCTGTAAAAGCGTCTGTGTGTCAAAGCGTCTGTGTGTAAAGCGTCTGTGTGTAAAAGTGTTTGTGTGTAAAAGTGTTTTGTGTACCAGTGTTTGTGTGTACCCGCCCTCTGTGTGTAATGTGTTTTGGTCAAATAGTGTCTGTGTGTAAACGCGTCTGTGTGTAAAAGGATCTGTGTTTAAAAGCCGTCTGTGTGGTAAAAGCCGTCTGTGTGTAAAAGTGTGTTGTGTAAAGTGTTTGTGTGTAAAATCGTCTGTGTGACAAGCTTCTGTTTGTAAAAGCGTCGTGTGTGTAAAGTCAACAATCCTGTGTGATACAAGCTCTGTGTGTAAGCGTCTTGTTACCCGTGTTTGTGTGTCCCGTGTCTTTTGTGCGTCAAAGCCTCTGT